TTTCCAGCGAAAGGTCTGAAACAAAAAGGAATTCGTATTGGAAACAGTGTGATATCGGAAATCCCTTGACGTATAATGACATTTTAAATTATGGTCGTAGCGAAAATTGCTCTACTGAAATGAAAGCCGTTTTTTGTAAAATACGTATGATGCAGTTACTCCAAACGTAAGCCTTTTCAAATTCACAATAATATTTAAAAAATGCCAGTTTTGTTTAACATTATACCAGCTGACTTTAATTCCTTTTTTTTGTCATTTTTATATTTAATAAAGCAATTTTTGTCGTTTTGGAACACCATCAGTTAAACATTGCCGAACACCTATGCCCTTGCTCTACCTTAGACCACCTCGCCTTACTTTTGGCCTACCCTTGGCCTACTCTTGCTTACTCTTGGTCGACCCTTAATCACCCCTTGTTCTACCTTGCCTAACCCTTCGTCTACTCTTTTCCTACTCTTACTTTAACTTTTACCTACCCTTGTCCAACCGTTGCCCTACCCTTAAATTTGATTTGCTCTTAGTCTACCATTGCCCTACTCTTGGTCTGCTCTTGGTCTACCCTTGTCTTACCCGTGCCTTACCCTTTCTTTAGTCTTGGCCTACTCTTGGTCTACCTTTGTCCAACCCGTGTCCTACCCTTTCCTTACTCTTAGCCTACCCTAGGTTACCCCTTTGCCTATCGCGTATCTGTCTTTGTCTTACAATTGTCTTGCCTCAGCCCGATTGTCTTCTTGGCCTATCCGTGGCCTAGCATTTTCTTCCTACTTTTGCTTTACTCTGTTGGTTTATTATAAAAGACGGTTTTTAATTTACAGGTAATTTCTGCAAACAAAAATCTTTTTAACCCTTTCCTCTAGAAAAAATAAGGTATATTTGTTATTATTACATTAAAATTATAAACTATCTTAAAACATATCTTTCAAATAATCCAAAAATCAGCCCACAACAAGTCCTCAACAAGTTTAATTATACCCCAAACCAGTAGTAGCAATATATTCAAATTGAACAGCGCGCGAGGTCAAGTCATTCAATCCCCCCTCAGGCTAGAAAAGAGTTTCCAATTGTTTGATTTGCGTCCGAAACATGATGAACTAGCCTTCTATTTTTATACCGATTACGTCGTATGTTTGGACATTCGATCTACAACATCAGTTTAGGTCATGGGCTTGAGCAAATAGTTCTACATTGTAAGGTGCAAGTGTTATATTTAGTGTTTTATTAGAAATTTGATTTAATATGTTAAGCTTTAGATGTAAAATGCGGTCAAAAAGTTTGTAGAAAGGTATTTTTTGCTAAGATTTTGCTATTTTTTACACTTTTTTATTTATTTTTTAGCAAAAATGATATTATTAATGACATTTATTACCTAAAATAATAAAAAATAGTCACAAAAAACAAATTTTTAAACATTAAAAATTACAAAATTGTTCTTCAAATCAATAAGAACTCTAAACCATCCAGTACCTTCCACCCGCAACATCCCCAACATCAACTTTGTCAACTCCGGAAGCCTCAACAACAATTTACCGTCTTCAGGACCCCAATTACCACGTAAAATATTGCGTTCAAAAACAAAAAAAAATGTTCATGGATATAACCTTGACATCGAACGTTCCACATTTCTTCTGGAATCCCTATTTTCATCGTCACGAACATTTACCCACGCGATCCCAGTGCCAGTGTATAGGTACACGACGCTTTTGGGTTTAGTAGGGTATTACTTACACAAATTGGCGACAAAACAAGGGATTTTGTGAAGGAGTGGTCAAAGATGAATTTTTAAAAACAAAGGATATCATATATCATTAAAAGTTTTTCTGATATAGCAAGGTAAAGGGGCTCAGAACATTTTACACAATTCAATAATGTGATTTTAGGTATGATAAGAGAGAAAGAATAGTAGTAAAAACATGTGTCAACTTTTTCTCCTCGTTCTAACTTCGAAAAAAACAAATTTTGAAAAGTTTTTTACAGTATCCTCATTTAAAATCACTAAAATTGTCTTGCACTAAAACGAAAAATCATATTTACTTCAAAAAGCAAGGCTACACGGTAGGTATTGTATTTATTATTATACCAGACTTAATTGCTCGTTTTTGTTTATTTTATTATATAATCGTTTCAATTTCTTTTCACAATAACTATGAAATAAACTAGTAACATTCGAAGCATCGTAGCTTTTTTCCTGTTACAATAAAATTCGTTATAATCAACAGACTAGGTATATTTACAGTAGTCCTGAAAGAGACTCGGTCAAACCAGACTGAGCCGAAGCAGATTTAAAAGGAGTCAAGTCGGATCCGGGTTCAAACCAAAGCTCACCCCGGCTCCTTTACAGGTCTAATTTGACAAAACTTTTTTTAAAGCTAGTTTAATGTAATCTCTCTTTTAAAGTTAAAAAAAGTTTTTCCTCAAAATATTTAAAATAAGAAAATTGTTTAAAATTTTTTCTTTTAGTAAACAAATAACGCCAGCAATTTTTTGTAGCCCAACATAAAAGGTTACTGTACAACATATAGTTTACAAAATAAATTAAAAGGCCATGTTCAGAACGATATTTATAAACAAATCAATGTTTGTTATGTATCCACAGTCAACGGGACATTTAAAAAAATATTTCAAATGCCAAAAAAAGTAAATACAGTAATTTTTAAACCATTAAAAAATTAGAAGCGCAAGACCGTATTTTACACTAAAACTTTAAAAAAAGTAATGTCATTCGTATTTAAAAAAAACTTTTTTAAAAGTAATGCCATGCCATCGTAGTGACCATGCTTTTGAATGTTTTCGTAAGTGAAATGTTGCCAAAACTCGGTTTTATGTGTTTAAAATTAATGGGAAGTGCAGAGAGCACGCGATGCCTAGAATTAATGAAAAAACTTACGAGTCGCAAAATTATTCAAAAAACGTTTTACGACAATAATTATTTGAACCGACTTTAATAAATATATCTATGATACTACAATACAAGTCTTTGCTCTAAGCCTAAATGTCACTCAATGATAGCTCACAAGTCAACCCAAATTTAAATACTAACAATTAAAATAAATTAATGAAATTCCCTATGCAAATCAACTCCAAAAAACCTCCCTTAACGACAAATTAAACCCGGTATCACCTCAAACCTTTCCACGAGATACCTAAACCGTGACCGTCTTATAATAACAAGAAACATTCCGCGATGAATAATTACATTCAAAGTAATCGGAAACGTCGCAAAAATGGTCAAAAATTTGTTTTTTAAATCTCCAGGCTATAAACGGTTTTTAAAATAAAAAATTCCAAACATTTTTTGAAAAAATGGACAACAAAGAGCTGGAAACTGACCGGAAATGAGAGAAAACGGTCGATTTGACACTCTTTTCAGAGTTCACGTAACTTAATTGGCTATTCTTCGTGAAGTTGTAAGGAATTTTTAATTGAAAATTGTAGCTCTAGCCCAGAACCCTAGCTCAGAGCTCTAGCCCAGACCCCTAGCCCAGAGCCCTAGCAATTTTGTTAGTACTATCTTAGTAGTAGTACTAACAAACTGTAAAGTAAAAAGATTGTGGAAAAAACGATCCATCCCTACAACCATAAATTTTAAGATTTGGTAACAAACCCCCAAAAAACGTCTGTTTAAATTGAGGACGTTCTTGTCGGATTTACCGCTGAAATTGAAAGTCATCTCGCTCCAAAAAAAACTATTTCAATTCCCTATTGAGAACATGCTGCAGAAGTCAAAAGAAACTCGAAATGACACAATATTTGGGGAAAGTTTGTTGCGCTCAAAAAAGAGATTTGTGACGAATATTGACAAATGGTAAGTATGAGTAACACAGCTGTCACGGAACATAATCCATGATGTAGCTGTTGCTTTACTGTGCGTTGGACGTGTTTCGATGTTTAACGCTTATTTTTACATTTGTCATTGTGACATTTTTCATAAATTTTGAAAGATTTACAAAGCACGGATTTGTGTATTCAAAAACACCATAATAACCTCATAAACCGCTCCATTGAAGGCCAGGCCATGTTTCGTCGTATAACATGTCGCAAAAGAATTTCTAAAAAAGAATTTTAGGACTTTTACTGAAGCAGTAAACCCTTTTTAACCATGTGTACAGACTGTAAAATTTTCAGAAAACTATTTGTATTACCGTAGAATAGTATTCTTTGAGCTGGACTTGTTTTGAGATCAAGATGTTCGAATTTCGGAGCGAAAAATCCCAGCCATTCATTATTCCACAGCTTTTTCGTTTCTTTTTTTCGGTTTTTTGATCTGAACAAGTCGTTTGATGTTTGAAGGAATTTGTTTTTTCTTTAAATTACCTACACAGCTCTGTTTTGCTTACTATTTCGAAAGGTTTTTGTTAAAATGATTAGTTTTAGAGCTTTAAGCCATGAAATTTATATTATACATAACGTTTTATGATAAAAGCATTTGATAATGCAATTTTTAGGTCGGAAATGTTTTAAGAAAAAGTAAAATACGATGATATTTTTGATAATTTACGTAAAAAAATTTAACAACTAATTTATTGGCAAGAACTGTTTTTATGTTGTTATACCACCTGATATTGCACTTTCTGTTTCGTTATCTATTTTGTCTTCTTAAGGCAATTTTTGGTTATAAACACCTTAAATTGCCTTACTTTTTACTGATAATGTGAAGCTCATTTGTTTAAACAGTAAAAACAAGGTTTTTGATTAGGATTCGACCTTGGGGTCTCTAAAACAAGGTGCGGTAAAGGTTTCTTTTGAATTTTCTGCTTTTATTTTAACTTTCTCTTCAATATTTTTGTTTATTAGCTCAAACAGAGTTTCAACATTATTAAAAAAGATATTTTGAAGATTAAAAAAGGTATTCGCTTCTAATAATAGCTATATTACCCACGAAACATCAGTTTTCTGATCAGTTTCCCGAAATATTATTGTTTACCACGTGACATCACGATAATTAATCAATCGCGCGACCACAACTTTTACAAGCCATGGTTAACATATCAACCCGATTACTTATGGGGCTTTGTGGTTTTTTGTTCTTGAGTGCGCGGGCCGCCTGGGCCAAAGTTGAGGAAGAGGTGGAAGAGTTTGGCCATTCTTTAACACACGATCATTTTCAGTCAGGAGCACAAGAAATGGCCTGTCCACATTCGTCTGGTAAGTTATTTTATTTTGTTCTTGAATTTTAGGCGATAGAAGGTCAACAGTTACGGTTTTTAAAGTTTTAGGTAGAAGTTTGGAAGTTTTAGCTGTCTTAGTGGTATTGCTGAGTAGGAAATAGTAGAAATTTTTATATAAATTTTGGAAGTAGCATGCTTGAAATTTTTGACCGACACTTTTTTATTTTATTATTTAAATCACTTTTTAACTATTGGTTTATATTGTTTTAGCTTTATCTACGTGCTCAGGAGAATTTTTAATGTTTTGAATAATCTAACTTACTTTTATTGCCATTTTTACATTTACAAGAGTCGGTTTTTTAAGGTTAAAATGGATGAGATAAACAGGTCTTTTGTTTCAAAGTTAGCAAGGGATATTGATGTAGCCAACCATCATTCCAATGGCAATGGTATATTTACTTATTTTTTGTGTTGTGACAAGTCAGTGTTACGTTAGTGGTCTTCTTTAATCTATCAAAGGTTTTTTCCATTTATTGTTTAACTTTTAAACGTTTATAAATTTATATTGTTGTAGGTGCCTCTAACTGCCACACAAAAATGATCGCCATTGGCGCTGGCTTAGTTGCTGGAGGCGCTGTGGTTGGTTACTTGGTTGGATCGTATTTAACAGCTCGTAAAGCCAAATGTAATGCTAAAATCAAGTTGGGAACGGACAAGGTTGTGGATTCAACGGACATTGAAGACATCGGAGAGAAGAAGGCTTTCTGTCGCTGTTGGAAGAGTGAAAAGGTCAGTTTATCTTTTTGAACTTTGATATTATTATAGATAGATTTAGCTGTTTTTATAGCTTTCGGTTTCTCTGTAAGCTTCAAAATAAGAAGTAACCGCTAGATTCTCTGCATTTTATGTTAACATTACAGTTTTTGCCTTATCGTGTTTTTAAATATAGCAAACTATGTATATTGTATTATAATTTTAAGGTACCTAAAAGTGAAAAAGTATAGCTTACCTTTTTTATTATTAATCGTATGCTTTTTTAGTTCCCCTACTGTGACGGATCCCATAACAAACATAACAAGGAAACCGGTGACAATGTTGGCCCATTAATCGTATCTGGCAAAAAGGAAGGATCATAAGCCATAGTTTAGGAAAATCTCCCAAATCTCTTTCGTTTTTCTTGTTTTAGTAACTTGTTTCAATAAATCGTAACTATTAATCATTGAATAGTAATGCATTATCATGTAATAGAACCTTTACAATCTCTGTATTCTATTTAATGTTTTACTTAGAATATGGTTGTAAAAACTAAGTTTACTTGTGTTTGAAGTAGTAGATTTATTTACATACAAAATCCAGGCCCTTTTCAAGGTTCTAAATCTACTGCACTGTGCAAAATTTAATATATTATACATATGGTGGTATTGTAACGTGCCGAAGTTTAAGAAGATTTGAAAAAGACGTAACATTATAAAGAATTCCTGAGAATTTACAGTTTTTGTTATACAACGCTATTCTATTCGGGCATCTATTGCTAACTCGGTTTGACTATTACAATATAAAATCAGAATTTCACAAGTTTTCAAATTATTCAAATTGGCCTTTTAGTGTTTAAAAAATTTTCTATTCTATTCACTTCTTAAAAAAGACGTCTACTTCAATATATTTTTATGAGAACGACCTTGCTACGCCTTTACACTATTATCAGCCGGATTCTGTTCTTTCAGCGGCTCTGGATCACGCTGACGATAAGTTTGGCATAGCCAGAGATCGTCTCCAAATCGATAGTAATCAGCAAACTGTCGAAAGTAAAGCTTGGTCTTGTCTTTGGTCGAGTTTTTAATATGTATTAGCTCGATGGTATCTTTGTTGCGTTCCAGTATATCTTGTAGAGGCTTCTGGTAGCTGGATTCTTTGGATACGTCCAGGAAGATACGGTAGATGGCTGGAATAAAGAAATTATTGAATGAGGTATTAGTGGTACCTGTTTTACTATAAGAATAACAATTTTGGTATCATATTACTGTAATACTGTGTTAATGCACTAATTTTTGATCGTATAACCAAAGAGTGGTATCAATTTAATGGTACCAACAATTACTATAAAAGTACTAAAACTCACGAGACTTTAGATTCTTGATGATCTTCTTCACCCCATGCATTGACACTCTCACATTCCTCGGTCGAATCGGCGAGCTTATGTGGATGGTACTAGGTGTGAGGATACCCAGCCTTAACAATGACATCCAGTTGTCGATCTTGTTTATGGTTTTGTGGCCACAACCACGAGTCGCATCAAAGCATGGCTCTCGAGAAAGGCATTGTAGGCATTTATTAGGACAAAAGTTGATACACGGCTTCGAACGGAAGCAGTAGCGCACCGTGTGAAAGTGCTTCTTGTTCACCAACTAAAACAACAAATTTTCGCTTACATTAAAAAGGGATAAGTTAATTTACGTTAAAGGATCTCTATTTGTAACATTATACTTTGGTATTTTATACTTTTCTACTTTGCAAATTAATTTTCAGCTGCTTTCTTTAGGATTTATCCCCTAACTTACAGCCATCCTGACAATACTTTTCTCGTTCATGTACTTGATCAACATTTCAACACAATGAGGCTTCAAGTCCGAAAAGCTTAGCAGTTTATCATTCAATGCAATACCTTCATTTGTCGCTTTAATCCTAGCCAATGACATTTTCATGTCACCCTTTTTGAACTTTGTCTTCACCTGAGCTGCCGACTGAAGTTTGACAGCTTTGTTGGCCGGAGATACATCAACACTATGACAAAACGCTTGTACATGTTTCCTTTTACGTTCACTTTCCATATATACAAGTTGAGATTACTTTCCTATTTTGTAGCTATGTTATGTACAGTAAAAATATTGGCAGTGCGATTTCCTGAGATCGGCCAAGCTTGAGTGGCCTGAAAATGACAAAGTAACATCAAGAAAAGTATCAGGCTTATCAAAGATATCAAAAAATTATTAGAATTGATCTAAATTTTGAATTTTTGATTTTGCCCCATCTTCAATATGACTTTTCCCTTACATTTTTATTAAAAAATGTCATAAACACAAAAAGATTTATAAAGTTTAAATGTTATTTTAATATACATTGTTTTTCCTTAAAAAGTAATACAATAAACACAAAATTTTTAGTAAACAATACTAGTTATGGACGAAAAATCGGATTGTATACCGTTTTTTAAGCAGAAAAACGCTTTTAAACGTCATAAAACAAAGCTTTTACAATACATTATTGTTAAAAAATGTTTAAAAATTAAAATTTTAAACTGCAAATTCAATTCCGATAAAGTGGAAGCAAAAACAAGATCGATATTACTTTAGCCCGCTCACGAGTCTTTCATTTCGCCCATTTTATAGAAACAAACGTCAAATTTTATGCATTATTTTTGCGGTAGGGATTTGGTGTGAATTTAGTTTTCTTTCTCGAAACTGCGTTTTTTGGACTTGGGCAGGTCTATAATATACAACAGCTAAAACAGGTGTTTTTGTGGATGGTAAGTTTTGTATAATATTTTTGGTCTTAAGATTCAGCTTTGTTTTTTTATTGTTTTGTTGAGGTTTAGCTATTTTGTGTTAACAATAGGGTAGTTTGAAGGTTTTTGGAAGTAATTCCAGATATCTGTTTTGAAATTATAACGTCCAACTCTTTTTAGTGAGTTTCTACATTATTTGTCGAGCTTTACTTTATTTGTCTTATCGTATTCATTTATCTTTAAACTTTAAATAACATTTTCTTTTAATCTTCATAATTTAGGTAAAAAAACCAATTAAATATGGGTGCACATGAAGAAAAAGTTGAAGAAGATGCCGCTGAGCTTAAATTTCCTAAAGGTATGTCAAGCTGTTAATTTAACTTAATTTTGTGTTTAGAATTCGAGGTTGTTGGATGTGACGCGTTGATGATCTCCGAAGTCTTCTTGCTTCTTGATCATCGTCGTAAACAAAGTGAAGAGAAGGAGGAAATTGAAGATATGAGTGAGGCTTTCCTTCAGACTCTCAATTATGCCAGAAGATTCTCGAAGTTCAAGAGCAGAGAGACGATTCGAGCTGTCAGAGTGTAAGTGCCTATTGTAACATACACATTACTTGTTTTTAGGATCTTTACTGGTCGTAACCAACTGCACAAGTTTGAAGTAGCACAACTGGCCAACTTGTGTCCTGAAACTGCTGAAGAGGCCAAGGCATTGATTCCAAGGTACGTTTTTTTGAAATATTGTTCTCGAGTAGAGCTATATAGCATATATTTTTATATTAATATTGTTATAAAAAACATTTTTAAGTAACTACGCATTTTACTTTAGTTTGGAAAACAAAATGGAAGATGATGAACTTGAGGATCTCTTGAAGTCATTGACTACCAAGAAGACCTTCCAATGATCTTATGTTGATAATTATAATCTATTTCTTATTCTTACACTGTTAATAAAATCTCACTGAACAATGATACAGAATGATTTACGGCGGTTTATACCAATAGTAATATTTTTACTGCTTTGTTAAACATATTTTAGGTAATAAGACTATTTTAAAGTAAGATAACTTGTGTTACGGTAACCCTATTTAGTTTTTTGATTTTATAGTGGTATAATTGGTTAAAAGAAAGAGCTTTCTACTTTATATTGTTGATTTTTGCTACATGTTATAGTACTGTTAAATGTTATTTTGATGGCGTTAGTGGAACGGTCGTCTTCTGGTACTTTAAAGGTTCGACAAAGGTATACCTTAATTAAATTATCGTATTTTAAACTCACTTATTTCTTTTTAGTTGGTCTTTTCCTTCGCAAAATGAATTTTCTGTTCAGGATACCTCAACATGATAGTATATTACACAACTATGCCTTATACGAACGGCAATCACTTAAATCCGGCTCCAGGGTGGAGTTAAGTCAGATCGAAATGAACGATGCTGGGAGTCTTATGGCGGTGGTAGATCTGGAAGGGGTGATTAGTATCTGGGAGGATGGTGAGAATGGCTGGGAGCGACTATCTTCTTGGAGGTATAGGTTTGATCATGGTAGCAGGATGGTTGAATTACCGTACTCAATGGATAAGATACCGCCATTGCACGATCCTTTTAATGCTAATTTGAAGCCAAATATTGTGTTACGATGGGCTCATTCGAAGCATGGACGGTATCTGGCAGTGGCGGCTTCGAATAAAAGAAAGGTTCATATATTTGGGGAAAATGGTAGGAGTTTCGAGTTTTATACGTTAAGTAATGGCAAATTTTTAAATATTTAAAATTTATTCCATTTGTTCAGCTTCCCAAGCGTGAAAACGAAATTAATGAATTTCCAGAACAAGACAAGATAGAGCAAGCAGCCCATTTTAACATGCGTCGTATCGTACCTTTAATCAGATGGCATCGTAAACATTCGATGGCTTCGGCTTCAAATGTTACGGAAATGCAATTTTGTCCACCTCACATGGAAATGGAGCTAGCTACAGCCACTCAAACTGGTGTAGTAGTGATTCATGTGCTTCAGAACCAACGTGACATTACCTCTTGGAGGCCGATCATGGCAATTCAAGTGTTCCCTAATCAGGCCATTAACAGTTTGACATGGAATCGGAATCCAGTCCACGAGTTGGCTATTATGGTGGCTTCTACGAATGCTTTGGATTCTAAATCTGATCAAAGAATAGCCATTTTTCCGAGGAAAAACGATCCGGTGTAAGGGAAAATAAAAAATTATTAAGGTTATCTTGGCTAAAAATTACTGTATTTTCCACAACTTTTTAATAGAACCTAGTTATCATACTTAAATTACTTTTTTTGTAAAAAAGCTCCCTAATCTACGTATTTTTTGATATTTATGAACGATGCTTTTCAGAACCCCAGAACAAAATATGCACTTTGACATGGACAACCAAGTCAGCTATGTCTCGTTTGGCCCATCAAATGGCCTGAACGAAAGTATTTTGGCGATCGGTGTTGGTCGTCGTATCTTCCTCCACACCTTTGTTATCACAGAAACTCCTGTCAGTGAAAAAGACGGTGAACTGGTGTTCCCAGAAGAGTTCAATCACGACTCAGAGAAGACTCGAGAACCAGTTCCGGAGGCAAAGAAGTTCAACCCAGTGCCATCTTCATCTCTACCTCACGCACATTCCAATTTGCCACTACCGATTCAAAGGATCAGACAGACTCATCCCCACTCGTCAGCATCACCTCGCCCAGTCACTGGCGGTCATATGGGCAAGAATCTTATCGTCGGTTCAATTGATTCTGATTCGTCGCCTATTTTGCCTCCACAATTTTTTGACGGCAGTCACAAGGACGATCGGTATATTGAGGATGATCGAAAGGTAAAACATAGAAGCTTGACATAGAAATGGCAATTAACGAAACATATAAAAAGTTTTTTAGGAGATTGATGACGACATAGAGATAAACAACGGACCAGTAGAAGAACTTCGAGGCCATTTCGACGAAGGATACGAAGAAACAACGGACGAGGAGAAAGAAACGGAGACTGACATGTACAAGTTGTTGAAATGGGAGTTCCCAAGAATCGCAGTATTCAGAGAGAACAGTGCTGTCAAAGCAATACATTGGAACACAAATCCAGATGGTTTCACGGCCGAATTCTGTGATGGAAAGCTACGAAGCTACAAATGTAAGTAGATTTTTTTAATTTTTTGATGAAAAGTGTATTATAAATTCTTAAAAGTTGGAAAAAAGATGTCGAAATTCATTTTTAAACTTAAAAGTTGACGTTTCACTATTTTTTAAATGAATTGTGTTACTATAATGTCATTTTGAAACAAAATCCACTTTTAAAAACACAAAAAAAGTGTGGGCTCAGCCGGTGATCGAAACCGGGGCCTCTCGCACCCAAAGCGAGAATCATACCACTAGACCACTGAGCCGCGGCCTCTCGAAGGATTGAAGGAGAGGAAGAGCGTGCTAAAAACTACTTTTTTCTTTAATTTTTAGCTTTTCTCGCTAAAATGTTTAATTAGCCGCTTCATTCTGAAGCAAGTGGCGATTTCTGACGTCTTCACGATGTTTCGGACACCCTAAGGGTATCTAAGCGGTCAGCAGCGAAAAGAAGCGCGGCTCAGTGGTCTAGTGGTATGATTCTCGCTTTGGGTGCGAGAGGCCCCGGTTTCGATCACCGGCTGAGCCCAAAACTTTTTGTAATTGATAAGAATACAGTATGCTTATCACTAGTAATTTAAACTTATTTTAGGGGCCTTTGGATGTGTATGGATAAAGAGCGCTGAATTATATCCGATTCCATCAAGTCAAATACAATATCAAGTGTGTTAATCTTCGGTTATGTATTGTTAACTACTACCAAAATTAGTTTTTGGAATTCTTTTACTTTTGCGGTCAAACAGTTTTAGAATTATCTTCTGACATTAGAGGGATCGTTATTTCTACGTCCTTTTTGACCAAAAAGTAACTTAGAGCACATTATCATAATTTTAGGTAACTTTAATTTCTACATTATTAATTCGTAATAACTTTAAAGTTTTTGTATCAAAATGTACAGATATAATTCAGGTAATAACACTTAGTGTACATACTTAATTGTGTAATAAATTTTATTTTTGAAACGTTGGAATTGAAAAAGTAGATTACCAAATATAATATACTTAATATTTTATTAAATTTTATTTCTAAAATTTGGCAACAACGTTTTTATACAACAATCTGGACACAAAATAATAAATATTGCACGTATTCGAGATTTGAGAAGCTTTTTACAACGACGGCAAGTTAATAATGGAACAGTTATCATTAGTTCGATATATTCAAAGTTACAATTTTCAAAAATACAAAATATATCACTGTTTCACTACGTCGTAGATACCCGAGTTGGTTTCGCAGTCGCGATGATACGGTCGCGCTGGAATGGGGCTGAATTCCCATTTGGAGAGGTCGACCGTGGTCGTGTTGATGGTACGTTGAGCTTGGGTCGAGTTGAGGGGTAATGTTGAAGGGGGCGGGAGGCTGGGTTGGAATTTTGAGTTCATTTGAGGGTTGAGGCGAGGTGGTGGAGGGGGGCTGGGTGCCCGAGAAGTTGATTTGGCGTTGTTGGAGGACTGAAAATGGCAAAATGTTGATGGGTTCAGATTTTTCATAAAAAAAAGCATGCCAGAAAGCTATTATTTATATTAAAAACGTCTATATCTGCTTCGCCAATTATAATATCATTTTGCCCCAAAAATTTTACTTTTTGTAAAAAATTAAACCGCGTAATAATCTAATAGTTACTTTTTTATAAAACAGCTATAGCTAGCTACATTTACAAAACATTTTTTCTAAACTTAATGTTAGACTTACCATCTAAAGGACCGGAATGATAGTTATTGAGGATTTGCCTATGAGGTTGATGTGGTGAGGAAGGCCCACTCATGTAGGTAATCTCTGTTGGACTGTCTACAGTGTTCATTTTGGCCTGTTGTTCCATTAGCAATCGTTCTTCACAGATTTTCTCTAAAATATTCGATGTTATAGACAAAAAAATATTACAAAGAATAAAATAGGTAACAATATCACAATTTTCAATCATTAATAGCTTACACCTCTGTTATCATATTTAAACAATTTTTTGGTAAAAAAGATTGTCTAACTTTCCTATTTTAATCTAAAACCCAAAAACATTTCAAAATTACCATACCCTGAAACTTGTAGTAGCATTTCTCACTGAAAGAATTCATATTAACAGCGTGTTTTATAAACCCTTTCTCTAGTAGCTGTTTGGCAAAGTTCCTGGCCTGTTTTCGATTGTCTAAACCATCCACGTTCTCCAGAAGCCAGTTTACCAGTTCGTGACCAATAAAAGACATTGGAATTGGAATCTTGAGCCATTTTCGGTCCTTTACTTTTAGTCCACTATCCAGCCGAGCCATTTGCCTTATTATTATCTCCATTGGGTCTGAGGACGATAAACGAATTTGTCGTTCTGAAATTTTAAAAATATATTCCATGATCGTACGTAAGTATTTTTTATAGTGTAATAGTCCTTATCTAGTAATTTTAAATTTTTGTCACGTTAAATATAAAATTAAACTCAAAAAATTAAATTACCGTTTTCATCATTAGGCAAGTCTTGTGGCTGTCCGTTAACTCCGTTGATATCTCGTTGTTGTATCGCTCGCATTAGTTTTACTTGAGGTACAAAATGAGCTCCAATACCATTCCTTCGATCATCGTATGCCGCCCTCTCTTCATCTGACGTCTCGTCTGCCGCTTCATTAACATGAGCTGAAGCATTTGGATTTGGATGGTAATCATCGAAGGGTAAATCTTGTCCTGCTTGTCTGAAATTTAGGTTTATGGTTTAAGCAGCAAAAATGGAACTTCTAAAAAATTATAAATATTCTTTTATAACATATTTTTATATACTTAAGACTTACTTTGTCGCCTCAACCCACAAAGACACATCAATTTCGGCAGTTTCACACAAAGCACTCAACGCATCGGAACGTTGATCTGAATCTCGTTTGTATCGCGCTACGACAATCCGAACCATTCGTTTTTGATTAGATACCTTCCTTAATAAACTGACTACTTGTTCATCTGTCAATTCTTCAAAAGATGTGTTATCAACCTGAACTATCTGATCTCCAACACCTAGAGCTCCACATCGGTCTGCTGCACTGTCTAAAATGAAATAAAGGTTACCATACATACACAAGCTATAAAAAAAGTAAACACCTATTACTTCTGCTTCAGCATTCTTATATTCCGCATTACCCAAAATTTCAAACAAAAAAACAAATATCTTACTCTTGGCAATCGTAGTAATCAGAACAGCTCCATCACACATGCCAATATCAATTCCAAGTGGATGTTCCCTCATGTCGAGCATGATTTCGGTCACCTGAGGTACTGAGGACATTCCAGATGCCGAGGATATTGTACTGGGAACATATGGCTTCCTATAGCGTTCACGTTTCTTCCGCCTGCGAGTATAATCTGCTGTATTCATTACTCGTAGATAATCTGAGGACTGATCTGCACAACTGCTCTGCTCAAACACGTATGGGTCTTCGGAAGCTGAGGTATTGTCTATACTTGCTAACTGTTCACCAGCTCGCTCTAAATTCAAGTTATTTTAGTTTTATCTGGAAAAAATTAAAATTCTATTAAATTTAGGTATGAATACCTATAAGACTAACAGTTTAATCGCTAAATAAGCTAGTTTAAATAACTTACTGCTTAAATAACTCCCAGCACCAGATATAGAGGGTTCAGCGGTTACCATTGATACCCGTTGACCGCCACAAACATCCAAATCCCCGACCTAAACGTCAAAATCAACTAAAAAAAACTTTACTTACCCCATAAGCAGCTAGATGAGGAGGAAGATTATTATAACGTCTACCATTCTTGACTGGTGCCAATGGCCCATTTGAAGTTAAGAACAACTCAATTACACCATTTTCATTTGTCTGAAGAGGCTCTGAATCGTCGTGCAGCGTTCGTTTGACATGTCTAAAACGATTTCTTATTAAAAAAAGTTTAAATAGTTCAATACCAATGTAATATACATTTAAAGATACCCAAGGACTTGAAAAAAAACATCATAATAAAGAAAACTTAAATCTCCCTTACTTTTTCACACTTTCGTCAAAAACTTTTTGCGAATACGTCAGATTTCGCTTGGGCATGGCTTTTTTGAAGTCGCCAAGTGTAATCTGATCCGCCGAGACTGGTACGCTGGTCAGGAATGGTGTACTATCATCGTCCAAGTATGAGTAGACCTTGGTCGAGGCCATCTATAAAGATCCGAACATAAATTTTTTATAAAAAATATTTTTTTATTCCAGAAAATGCGTCAGCGGGGGTTAAATAGATAAGTTATAAAAACAAAGTAAAGTTCCAAAAGTAAAATATTAAAGACTAAAAAATTTTAAAACATTATCATTTTAAATCATTTCTTTTATAAGTGTAGTTTTAAATATGTCATCATGACATTTTTTATCAGACTAAAAAAATGCTTTTCAAAATTGTTGAACGTTATATCGTTTGAAATAAGTATTCTCCATTCTCAACATATTCTCCAAAGACAAGGTAATAATCAAAGAGAAAAGTAGGTCACAATGACATATTTTATAGAATTCTAGAGATAATCCTATATTCTTAAAAATAGTGTAATTCCACACAAACAGTAAGTTTTATGACTTCTCTCTCCACAAAAAAAAACAAAATTAGATTCCTAAGTAAAAATATGTCACCGTGACATTTCTTTTTGTGACATCCCACTTTGCGATCACTAATAAATCCCACGTTTCGAACAAATGTGTTTGAAACCGAGAGTCTCGAGGAAATAAAAATAAATCATTTGCGGAAGCCCATTAATGTTTGGTGGGCAATAAAACTAAAACAAATGTAATAAAATTGGGAAGGTATTAAAATGGTGCAAACACATTATCAGCAGCTCGCTTATCATGGGAATTAACAGCGTGTTAAAAAAGGGCTTAAAACGAGGGTTGATAAGGTTGAGAGGTTTAAAATAGAGGGGTTTGAGGGGTGATTTTGGTGGTTTTTGGAAGTTTTTGTTTGTAAAATAAGGTTTTTTGACGTGATCGAATAATATATTGATTATGTACGTATAGTAAAAAGTTTTTGGTACGCTAAGAAGCCTAAAAACAAAGTTTTAACTCTTCCTGCAATTTTATGGATTAAAGATTGCACGGTGCAGTTATTTTACTGTGCAATCAAAATATTACCCAAAAAGAAAAGTACAGCCTATTTTACATTAAAACCCAATAAATCAGAAAAAACATGAAATTTGAGTTTCCAAAAACGGCAAATAATGGATTCTCTCACCCAGTAACCTGAAGAAACCATTAAGTCTGCCGTTTTATTTCATTTATTGTGTTTTGCGCCGCATTCACACAAAAAATAATTAAAATTCCCATAAATTAACGAAATTCGAGTACTCGCCCCAACAATAATAATCGAAATTGACGGTTCCTGGATTGGTGAAAACAAAAATTATGTAAATCACTTCGTATCTTCGGTTTTGATCAAAGTTGAATTATCTACTTTTTTTTAATTGAAGGGTTTTGAAAAAAATACGAAATTACTAGCCATCAGCATGCCCAGCCTGAACTACTATTTTTTATATATTAACAGTAACAATGCTTAAAACTATTTATTATTAGTTACTACGCCCAGAACTGTATTTTATCAGTTACCACGGTTTAATTTACTACCCCTCACCATGCCCATACCAAACTACTACTTTTCATTACGTCTATAACAATATCCTACCAGTTATCACGCTTATAACTATTTATTACCAGCTTCCCCTTCTCAAAATGCAAAACCCTCAGCATAGCCATAAATATCTTATCAGTTACTTCCGCAGTAACTTTGTTTCATCGCAAATCCTTGAGAATCCGACGAAAAGCCGCGACCGTGAAAAAATAACAAAATTAAATTTATGGCCCGTCTTTAAAAAATAGAGGCAAAAAATCCTCGATATAACAACCATCCCGACCGCGACCTCGCCACATACCACACGAACCGGGTGCGGCGACAGACGGAGAAAGGGGTTTGAGCGTCTTTAAAAAGAATGAGTTCGAAGGTCCCGAACCATCCATCTGAAGCTGCGGATTCAACGTCACACTTTGTCTTAATTTTTTCGAATTTTTTAAATGCTTTGGGAGTTGGATTGTGTTAAAAAGGAATGACACACTTCTGGAAATAACATTTCTGTGCGAAAGTAGTAGTGATATGATACGTAGAGATGAATTTAGAAGGAAATAATACTAAGATCAAGTTCAACTTTAAAAGTTTTCTAGAAAGTCCGGAGAGGGGGGGGAAGGGTAGGTAGTGCCGGGAGATGGGGAAGGGAGGGGGGGGAGGGTAATTTAAATTTGGAAAAAAAGAGAGACTAGGATAGATCTGTGAACGGGCCAGGCCCACACGTGCCGACCAATCCAGTCACCTTTTAAAATTTGTTTCAGACCTGTCCGAGGTGGGACCAGGACTAATGTTCCCAGGATCACTGGTCCCTATTTCAGCCCTAGGCTAAAAGAGAATTTTAAATTTATTTTTTGTCGTAGTTGTAGATTTCCATAAAAAATAAATCAAAAACCACGTTTTAAAATTTTTTCCAAAAAAATTTTTTGTCAGGACCCTCCCTTCCATGCCTTTGCCTGCAATTTTGGCACACTTTTGTCACCTTTCTTTGAAAAAATACTAAAAAATAACTTATCTTAAAAAAAATTTGGGACTTGCCGGTCCCTTTACAGGCATAACCTAGATTAAGATCCCCAAAATAACAATTTTTTACCTAAAATTTAGATCACAAACACCTATAAACCATATTTGTGTTATTACTTGTACATTCGCCAACCTAGACTGGAAAGGGGGCCTACTAGATTCAAGCTGAGCCAAACTAAGTTTTGAAGAGGCCAGGACAACAAACTGAGACCGGCCATTGACATGTCTAACCTACACTAATAACCCTAAAAAGTACCACTTTATACCTAAAATTTTAAAAAATACCGTTTTAAACCTAAAACTTAGATCCAAAACTCCCATAAACGATACTTACGCCATAACTTTCACCTCCCCACCCCCAAATGACATAACATTTCGAACTGAAAACAGAAAAACAAGAAAAAGGAGAAAAAAGTCGAAAATGGAGTGAAAAGCGATGGGAAAAGGAAGAGACTTAATAAGAGCGATGAAGCAGCGATAAGAATGATTAATCGGATATTCGGGACTGTCGCACATTGTAATAGATTTGCATAGAAAGTTCGCTAGGGAAAATGACAACATTTTCAAGAGCTTTTTCGATGAGTAATATTGAAAATAGCGCTAATTTGAAAAAAAAATATTTTAAATTTAAAAACCTTGTTGCAAAAAGAATGGCGCTAGTGTTGATTGTAATTTGATGAAAAAAAATATTTGTTATAAATTCAAAAGTTTGCTCAATTTTAAAATGCCACTCCTCCTGAAAAAATTTTTTTGTTTTGCACCGTGCAGTCTATAAAAGATAGTTGTCGCGCCCAGACTAAAAATGATGTCGCAACAAAAATTTACCATACTTACTATGACAATCTATGCGACTTTTCTAACCATTTTACTTTTTTACCTTTGCGACAAACTTCACAGAGCGAGTATTAAAATGACTGCACCGTGCATTAAAATGATTGCACCGTGCAGTCTATAAAAAAAAGTTGTCGCGCCCAAACGAAAAATGATATTGCATCCAAAATTTACTACGTTTAGTATCACTATCCTTGCGACTTTTCTAACAATTCTAATTTTTTCTGCCTTTGCGACAAATTTCACAGAGCGAGTATTAAAATGACTGCACCGTGCAGTAATTTCTCTCGCGATAAGATTTTAAAACTGCTATTCTTTTAATAACCAAAATGACTTTACTAATCATACTATAATGATAAAGTTTATCCTAAAAATAAAAGTGAAATCTCAAAAAAAGTAGAAAAAGTGAAAAATGGCAAGAACTTTCGTTCCAGTTGAAATTTGGATAACAAACACATTAATCTACCGCAATCCACTCCATTGTTCCGTTTCAATCGCTGCCAAGAGTAATGTTGTGAGCGCGGAGTTTAAAAAAAAACGAAATCTGGCCTTAAAACAATTGGCAACTGTTTTATTGCGAAAGAACTAATGGATCGTACAGAAAGTCAAAAAACTTGCAAAGAAATTAACGGATTCTAGTACAAAATGAGTAGTTAATGAGTAGTTAAGAATTAGTGGATCGTGCTGAAAAATCAAAAATATTGCGAAAGAATTAGTGGATCGTACTAAAACCACAATTTAAAGCCATTTTAGCCCCAAACGTCTCTGAATTTTGAAAAAACAGCTGCATATTCATGAAATTAGACAAGAAATGCGACATCGCGACAGCGGGAAGCCCTGGAACTACTTCCGCTCCCATTCGAAAACATTTTACTGTACGAAGAAAGGCATTCACAACAATTTTTAAGGAGTTTTTACTATAATTTTATATCCAGAATGGTGTCCAAAATACGAAAAAAGTAACTTTTTCCAATATTGTTGCAAAAAAAACACTTAAAACTCAGAAAAGGTCTCAAAAAATGTTAAAAAATACTGTCATAATGACATATTTAGACATTTATTATCTTTGATTTTTTAAATTTTATATTAAAAATGACATTTTTACTTTAAAAACCAAGTAAAAAGCTCAATTTTTCACTAAAAACCCATTGCACTGTGCATTCTCTTTCAACTTTTCAGTCTGTACAGTGCAAAACCTTCTTTCATAACCCTTGCACCGTGCAACCGCTCTTACTCCTTTTTGTTTGCACAGTGCAATCATTTTTTCAAAACCTCTGCACCGTGCAAAGCATCCACTCAACTTGCGACAGAAAAATCGTCGCTTTTCTGCACGAAAAACCCTGCAAGGTGCATCAATTGGTTTGTCGCACTTGCTGTCAACAGCATTGATCTTTCGCGACAAATTTGGCATTTCCTGCGCTTGTCGCAAGGGTTTGGAAGGGCAATGGCAACGACGTTTTGCGGCAAAGGCTTATGGCGACAAGCTTAAAGTTGAGAAAGCAATATGCGACAAAACTTGTTTTGGAAAAAGTTTTGCGATAACTTCATTTTGTGTTTTCCTGCGACAAATTTTGGCTCCCAAACGTGCGTTGTGTCAAAAATGTCGCGAAATTTCGTTTGCGCGCCTTTCTTTTATCGCGACGACAATTGCAAAAAGCTGCGACAACTCTTGCGACGAACATGCAAATCCTACGACGGTTGCCCAAACGCTGCGATAAAAATTTAGCGAGATGCGTTTTGCCGCATGTCGCTGAGTTTTTGAAAGGTTTTGGCCCAAACGCTGATTATTCAATGTCTGCGACGAGTTTCTTTCTGTGCACAATGCGGGATTCGCTTATCGCCAGTCTTGGAAAGTTGCGACAACGGTTTGAATGCACGGTGCAAAGGAAGAAAAGGTTCTTGCACAGTGCAAGGGTAAGCAAGCGTTTTGCACCGTGCAACAGAAAAATAAAGAACTGCACGGTGCGGTTTTTATAAAAACTGCACGGTGCAGCTTAAACAAAAGTTTTACAGTGCAGTTTAAATAAAGAATGCATGGTGCAAGGCATTTAAAACCTTCCTTTTGAACTTTTAGAAATTTTGAAAGTATCTGCGACAAAAAATACGGTAAAATGGAGCTTGTAAACTAAAAAATGTCATTTTAACGATACAATGTCATCGTTCGAATAAAATTGAAAATATTTACTGATACCCGCAAACAACGACTAATGATATACAAACGATCATATATGTTTATAGTAATCTGATGTCAACAACGGCCGCGCTTTGGCTAGGAAACCGTCGCGGCTCAAATAACAGCCACACATCTTGCGATGGCCCTAAAATACGGTTTTTAAATTTATATTATTCATGATGAAAACGGCTATAATTTCCTTTAAAACTAAAAAAAATCTATTGTGTAGCCTTAGTAAAGCAACGTTACTTAAAATACAGTACTCTAAAGCCCCTTTATTACCTAAAAACCTACCTCAAACCCGCTCCTCGCATGCAGAATCCTCGTATTATCGAAGAAGACCACCGTGCCTGGCTGTAACTTGACCTTTAACTTGTTGTTCTCATAGTGAATGATCTGCGACAACTTCTCATAAGCCTCGTACCAAAGCACAGTCAACTCAACGTTCCGTTCTGCCGCACTAGCATCCAGCTCCACGACTCGTAGCGTGCGTAGCGGTGCACGATCGTAGGGATTGAAGCGGACTTGCTCAACCTTGTGTTTAAAGCACTGGATGATGGGCTTGCTCACACTCCGGGCGTGCAACTTCTGCTTCTTGTCGTTCTTCATCGTGCTCGGGTGTTCGTCGAAGAAGTCGTCCTCGACCACAGGCTCGTCGAAGCCTTCTAGGTAGTGATGTTCGACTGGAGTTGTCGCTAAGACGTCGAACAGGTCAGGTCGTTCTTTTCGCAATTGTTCGGCCGCAGCGAATCCGTCTACAAAGATGTTCTCCCCGCCTTCTTTGGCTTGTCGCAGACAGTGTAACACCTGGATGCCGGGGGTTTGCTCGAGGTAAGTGCCGTCGTTGTGAGGACCAATCTCTTCGTTACCGTAGGCTGTGTCTTCGTGTTTATCGTAAGCGTCTAACTGAAAATGAAAAATGTGGTCAAAAAGTTTGTAGAACTACGTTTTTTTAAATTTTCGTATTTTTTAAAATCTAAAATGGCAATAACTTTCTTTACACTACTAAAAATTACAAAAAATTTCTTTACAAGCGTTAAAATGACAAGAACTTTCTTTCCAAGATAGAACTTTGCCAAAACGTATTTTACAAAGTAAAAAAATTACTTACCTGATCATTTGTGCCAAAAACCCAAAAGTTGCCGAAGAATGTGGCGTGATATGGAGCTATCGACTCGACCAGCTTCTTTGTCGCTCTTTCATTCCGAGCCTCCACCCCGACCACAGCTGCCACACCAAATCTGACGAACAGTCGGGCGAACACAGAAAAATCAAAATTTTGACTGAAATTTTTAAAAGGTTACAGTAATCTATTTTTATTTTCACTTTTTAAAAAGATATCACAGTAAAAAGATTAAAAACCATATTTTACCTAGAAACACATGGGATCTCCTTCAACGTTGAGCCGTTCCAGACCGTTCTCGACGCACATTCGTCATAATCTTTGCGAGTGAAGACTGCCCAATCGAGTAGTTCTTGTGAGCTGAAGATACTCTCATGGCCATCGCTCCATCGTACTATTAGGGTTTGGTGCTTCTTGTCGAATTCAAATGGTGTTCTGGAAGAATTTTCAAATTATTTTTAAAGGTTTTTCATGCTATATTAAGTTGTATCAAAATCAATGAGATACTGAACCGCGTATCTTTATGAGCGACATAGCTCATCATTTTTTATACAACCTTATACTTAAGATATTTGTTGATAAACGGAACAAAACGGGCTTTAACTCAACTTTTATGAACTTTCAATACCATTTTTCAAGATATTCTAATAACCTTTTGACCACACCATGCTTTATTAATTGTTTAAAAAGTGGTTTATTACCTAAAAACATCGAAAATCAGCCTAAAAGCATAAAAACATGATATTTTTGGGCCTTTAGATAGTAAATACGCAGTAAAAAATAGTCTTCATAAAACATATATTAAATCAAAGTAATAACTTCAAAAAACATACTTATCCGTGCTCAACGCTGCTTGAGAAAACAAGGATTTCATGTTTGACTTGCGTTGAGTGGTCTTGAAATCATAGAATCGCTCACTTCTACAATGATCACGAAGCCAGACCAATGGAATTCGAAGAGATTCGGCGTCTTCTGAATATAAAAAATAATAAAATAGAAAAAATATTAACTTTATTACCTAAAATCTGCTTTTTTAATCAATTTTTTGTGAAAAAGTCCTTGGAAATGATATTTTTTCATGCTAAATGCCATTTTTTACAAATGTAAAACTATTTTTAAAAAAAATTTTAAAAATTATAAATCTACACTATAAATTAGCAAAAATGTTACCCTACCCATTTCCAACTCCAACGAAGCAAACTTGGGATTACTCGAAGTTACCAGGCGAACACCTGACACTTGCTCATCATAACCAGCTGTAGTTACCCGGCGAGCAACTTGATGTAGTTGTTTGTTAACATTGACAAACCTTCTCAGCTCCAACACCTGTCGCAGCGGACGGAACATACTATAAAAACAGCATTTTTTAGTTTTCAAATTGAAAAAAACAGTCAAATCAATATATTTTTTATCACGTGTCTGGTTATGTCGTAGTTTACATTATTTAATAATTTCGAAAGGTTTTTAAACTTGTAACACTATGCCAATTGGCCATAATCCAGCCATTCAACAAAAGTACTTGAACTATCATACTCAGAATCAGCTCAAAGTTTTTATATAAATTCTTCGTACCACCAATAGTACCCATAAAAGATTTTAGCTTCAGCTTTTCTGTTTTAAAATTTAAATATTTGAGGTTTTCCGCAAAGTCGCAACTCTGGCATTGTGTTTCAAGCACTTTTTTCGACTTTCCAAGTAACGCTTACAAATTTAAAAATATAGACCCATTTAAAGGGGTTCTACTAGAATACCAAAAAAATTATTAAAAGCTAAAAAATTACAAAGTTACACGCTTAAAATACAATGCCAATTTGTCAGAAAATTCAAAAATTAATTTTTTTTTCTTGATCTTCTTTAAAAATTTGATGAAAAACGCACTTTCCTTGCTAAAAATAGTAGATCCACGATTTTAAAATTTCACAAAAAATTTTTTCTTTAACCTACGAAAAAGAGAACGCTTAGTGTAAGGTTCACAACACTTTCACTTTAATGTGTAGTTTGTCGCTAAAACCATAACATTAGGTAATTTCACTCTCAAATTGTGTGAAAACTTGTCGCTTATAACGAAATCCTAGACTATAATAACTTCCAAAGATGTCATAGAAATTAAAGTTAAAAAAACAGAAAAAACGATAATGCCAGGTTTTAAAAGTGCTAAGAAAAAGAAAATACTTGATCACGTTGACTTGAAATTTCAAAGAATTTCACTTCCAACGCTAAAAATTTACCACTCACTTCAACCTCGTATTTTACATTTGATTACTGCCAAAATAAACTGACGCATCTCCGCCCGAAGTCTTCATTTCGAACAATTCGCAAAAGCAAAAAAACCATTTTTCAAGTTGAAAGGTTAACCAAAATACGTAAACGTTTGCAAAAAGCACCCGATAGTCTTATCAAAAATAACGCCAAACATTCCCACTGCCATTTGGAAAGATGGGGGAAAATCATGCGGAGCCCTGAACACGTTCCAAACTTTTCGAAAAATGTTTTTTCTAAACAAAAACAAGCTCATTCTTATACCACTATAGATTTCCACTTGGCTCTTCATTGATTTTCAGCTTGGTTTTTAATACCGTCGAACTCCTGTATAACAAGTTGATTTGAGATTTTAATTTTATAGATTTTAAATATTCCACCATAAAAGAGTTTGTTATGCTTAAAAGTGGTTTGTTATACGGAATTTTCGTTAAACTCTTTTGCAATAATTATAGCTAGTGCGGGTAACTTTAGTCTGAGGGCGTGTAGGGGGTTAAAGATAAGCATAATATAATAGCTCACTTGCATCGATGTTTTTTTAATATTTTTTTTTGAAAATTGTTTTTTGTAAAAACCTAACTAATTTAATAAACTCACGTTTTAATCTTTGTTAGACATTATTTGATACGGGACGTTTTAAAAAAGTTCAAAGTACTTTGCGCTTTTTAAAACCTATCAGGCTTCGAAAATAAAGTTGGTGCTGGTATAACTTTAAATGGCGCTAGGACAAATGCAGTTTTTGGACATTTGCAAATTTAAAAAATTTTTTTTATTTTTTAGTTAATTTAGTTGTAGTATAGTACTAAAAGTCCAAAATAGTACTTTTTTATAGTTTTTGGTACTAAATGGTACTAAAAATCCAAAGTGATAAAAATATAAATACCGTACCAATTTAAACTTTAGTACCATACTACAATTAAATTAACTAAAAAATAAAAAAAACCTTTTATAAAAAACGCAAACGTCTAAAATCCGCAATTGCCCTATAAATTAAGTTTTTATAGTGTAATCCCTGCTACAAAAATCGAACAGTTGGGTAACGTTGGCCTAGATGAAGGAAAGTAAATTATACTTCTAATTTTACTTCTTCCCCAGTGCCACCTTCCCCATTTTGCAGCATCTCACATAAATAACAAAACAAGTTTAAAAAGTTAACTTTATTAACCACTGAAAAACAACAATAATATTACAATCAAGTAATATAATGTAACTAGTGTTTCTTTAACTTCTCTTTATTATCACCACCTCTGCGCATGAATCTAGAGAACATTCGAAGAACGGTGAAAGCGACAAAAAGTAAAAATGACAATCCAGAGATGACGATAAGGTAAAAGTCGAGATGATGAACTTCCAAATACAACGCTAGTCCAGTCTTCTTCGGACCGTTTTTATAGAATTTGGCTGCTCCGTGCTTGGCGACGTGCTCTATAGCATGAAGTACTCGTTCAAATGCCGTACCTGGACGAGATTTTAGGGCTTTGGAGAACTGAAAATGTTTTATTTAGTATAATATACGGTCAATTAAACTAGAAAAAATAATAAATCTTCAAAAATATTAAGGTATGATTACAGTATACATCCTTGCAATCAAATAGTAAAGTCGTACTGCAATACTAAAGTACTATTTTGTACCATAAAGTAAAAAACCTACATCTTCAGCCTTCTTCTTATATATTGGCGTGTCCAGGAGCTTCTTCATTGTCTGTAGCAAGATCTTCTCATCAATCTTATCCTTTCTCAACATCAGCCCAAGCCCTTGCTGTTCCACGTTCCAAAGATTCTTATAGTTAACTCCATACAAAGGCAACCCCAATAAAGGTACTCCATAAGTCAGAGCTTCCATAATGCTTGACATTCCGCCATTTGTAATCAATAGTTTACACCTTCGATGAGCAAGAAGATCGTTCTGAGGAATATAAGTCGTGACATTGATGTGAGATGGCAGTGAGTCTATGTCAACGTTCTTCAAGTATAGATTGGTACCTATTCTCCAGTAAATTCGGTATTTCGTGAGTTTAGATAGGGCTCCGACAAATGCTTTAACAAGATGTTCTGGCATAGCCGAGCCATCGACGTTCGCGCCTAATTGGACTAGAATTAAGCCGGCTGGCGCTGATGAGATAGACGTATTCCAAGGCTAAAATATTTGTATGGAAGGACTGGTGAACGTATTTTACAAATAAAAAAAAATAAAAATGTGATTATTAAATTTTAAAAAAATTTAAAAGATTGCGAAAAAATCTAAAGTTTTAAAATATTTTTTACAAAAAGTTTTAAAATTTTAATTTTACCCAACGACCTATGGTACAACTTACATAAAACAAAGGTTTCGGAAAATCAATATGAGTTCCACCGACTGGGACAACATTACTAGGCCAAGAGCGATCCGATTCGAGTAAAGAATCTGTGTTTACAAAGTAAAACTCAGCACTTTGTTTGATCTGAAAATGTGATTTTAATTAATATTATCATCAATATTAAAACCAAACTATTTTATCTGAAATATAAAAAAACGTTTTTGCATCACAATGCCAAAATAGCCAAAATAATTAAAAATTTTTAAATTTTTAATTCTGTATTTGAAACCGCAAGCATACAATCAAAACTTGCCTGATTAACATGTGGAAAGTGTTTGAATTTTTTTTTGATATCATAGTCTTCTCTGAATATCTTACTGATAGCATTATCAACCAGTCGAACTCGAGTACATAACTCATTAGTAATAAAAGGCAAGTCCAATTGGCATAAGCTCTCTTTTACTAATTCTAGTCCAGTATAAAGTTCTCCAGTCTTTGATGACGGTGTAGTACGACTACTAACAGTGTTTAGATTCCAAGGCATTCCAGACGCAATAATTGTTTCGTCAGATAAGCCTTCTAGGTCAAAGTAGATAAAAGGTATACTCAGAGCATGTACGATAGCTAGTTGACAGGGATTATTATTGTAGATGACAGCAACTTCTATTTGGTCACGTTTTATAGTTTCCATTAGGTTACTGTTGATCAGCTAAAATGTAAAATACGCTCGTTTTGGATTGCCATAAGATATTAATTTTGACAATTGTACCGTTTTTTAAAATTCTATTGTAATATAAAGCTACTTTTGTTAATGTCAAGCCACGTTTAGAACATTCAAGTTTGTTAACTGAGGTGCATCATACACTTTAGTATATTTATCTCTTCTGATTTACCTTATAACAAGAAGCATTATATCCAGCCCAATACGGCACGTTATAACTGTCCAATTCGTAGTTTTTGTTCCATGGTACTGTGCTGCTAACATCTTCAATTGGTCCGTATAATTCTCTAAAAATTTTTATTACAAGTTGCTTTAAAATTACACATTCTTTCTGTAACTGCATTAAGGTTACGCTATAAAATTTATGAAAAGTATTGTTCATGCCTTGCAGGTTTTCCTAAAATCTTGATAAAAACCGATTCAACGCAGTATTGAAGCCTACAGATACAGTACAACTTTAAATTTACTTAGGCAATGTATTTTTGATGATTTTCTCTCTGACCAAGTGCAATCTCGGCTTGACTAGCCTTGGCTCTTCTGGTACCAAAATAGGTTTTACTGTGACTACGTTATGATGTCTTAACGCAATTTGTTGAGCCAAAAACTCAAATATATGTCTGTCAAATTGATTTGTGCCATGTAGAAAGAATAATACGTTAGCTGGGGTTACGTAGCTTATAAAAGTTAATAGTAACAAGAAGGCTCTAGCTATATTGTAAAACATTTTAGGTAGGAATAGTCAGAAAATAGAGTTTAAGTAACCAAAATAGACAAAATAAATTAGTAGAACACTATATATTTAATGTTGATCAAAATAATATACACAGAAAAACAATATTACAAGCAAATGTATATAACAGTATACAACAGTAGTTTTGAAACAGCTGAAATAGATACAATTAGAATATGTTTTAAGTTCAAACCTCTGAAGTGCGCAAAAATTTACAAAATTTGGACGATCTTCGTCTTTTCCGTTTCTTTCTTTCTCTAACCGTATCTCTTCTTAATACAACCTCTCGTTCACGTCAACCTTTGACCGGTAAAATAAACAGACTCAAGACAATAGACCGCTAAGCAAATAATTTTGACCTTTTCGCCCAGAATTACCACGGTGACCGAAATTAACATGTAGAACATGTACTTTACGTGGTGAAGATGTACAGGAACTGTATACAGTGAAAATTTTTTATCTTCTCCATAGCGGACCAATTTTTAAATCCTCAAGCGATTAGTTATACAGGAGTGCATCTCTGTAGTTGTATAACCAGCAGTCAATCTTTTTTGTACGTTAACGTCTTGTAGATAAGCTACAGCTTCTTCTATAATAAAAATGGAACGAAAGTTGTCATCAATTTTAAGATATCAAGCAGATTTTACTGACAAAAACAATTTTATTATAAACACATGTGTACTTCATGACTTTTTCAAATTACTTTTATCGTAGAAAGCTCAAGCTTATCACACGTGTTTTTATTTAAAAAGTCTAATTTTTCTTCAACTTCCAACTGTATTGCTCAATTAAAAAAGTTATTTTGTTATACCTTATTTAAAAACAATCTTATTAGCACCACATTTTTTACAGAGCAATAATAAATAAAATTATTTATTCGATTTTAATAAAAAATTTAAAAGTAAATTTAATTGCCGACCAAATTTGATTATATGATGCCTATTTACTTGAATAACAAGTTTGGCATACTTTTTAAACAAAAACTGTCTGTCTATTAAGCTTATGCAACTATGACCTTATCAAGTTTTTATACCATCATCGGCAACATTTTTAGACAAATGATTGACAATACAGATTATCGTTATAATTCAAAGAGTATACAGTAGTACAGTAAGAATTCTGTATAACAAACAACTTTAAGATTTCTAGTAAACACTTCACGGTGCATTTAAGACTCGATACCGAAACTCCTTTATCACAAAAAAATAAAAATTCGATTTGTTTTACTGGTATTTCAATGTATAATAAGTTTTATAAATTTGTGTTTCCCCACTTATTTACTTTGCATTATAATCTTCTTTACTGTGCAAGCCAAAGTAAAGCACTAATATTTATTTATGTATAAAGTGTAAAAGTTAAAATTAAAACTAAAAAAGCGTTTTTAATTATTCATCAAGCTGTAACAGACAGACTTTTAATTCAAATTTGCACGAAATTCAACCAACCTTTAGCAGAAGATAGTGAATTAACAGTTTTATATGATAGGTTTAGCTTTTGGCTTTGATATCTTTAAAAATGTTTTTTAATGGTAGTAGTTCTTTACTTTATAGTACAGTAGAGCATCTGTAAAACAAATCGTTCGTAGATTTTAAATTGTTTGTTACGCCGGAGTTACACTGTATATATAAGATTTAGTATTCAGAAAAAACTTAACATAATACCTTATTTTTATGTAAATTATTGTTTGTCATAATCTACGCTGCCAACATGAAGTTACTTCTTTAACTTCCAACGTATTTTTGCAAACAAACAAACGCCGCTTTTACGTAGTATAATGGCGTAGTAATTGCAGAGTTTGTCCTAGAATTCGGACTTATTTGTCAAAAGTTTTCGGAAAAGTTGCAACTCTTTCCAAGTAATGTCTATGTTTATTCGATTTACTCAACTATCAATCGTATTTTTGGGTATAACAACTTTTAGGTATAAAGCGAGATCACATTTCTGAGAATTAGGTATACCTGTTGACGCTTTTTTTGTAAAAACAAGGGTCTATAAAAGGTACTTTGGGCGTAAGAACAGTTTAGGTAAGGTATTTGAGATTTTCTGCTATGGCAGCTGCCAAATTAAACGTCTTGAGGTTATGGTAGTTTTATTGTTGCTAACCTTTTCTTACAAAACATATTTTTAATGTTTTTTCCAAAATTAAAATGTAAAAAACATGAGTCTCTAACTTTTTTGCTTTTTAAATTAAAAATGTAAAAAGTAATTGAAGCGTGTAGCTTAATTTATTACGTACAGCAGAAATTCATCATAAAGTTTCAAAGAAACATTATGAAAAACTTTAATTTACCTATTTTAATCTAACCTAAAGCTTTTATAAAAGTTTTGTCGTCATTAAGCAAAGGGTTTAATATTAAAAAACGACAAAAGTTTATGCGGGGATCAATATGATATATATTAAATTAAAGTATGTAATTAAGCTTTTAAATTAAAGATTAATTTGTTGTTTATTTACTTTAACATAAAAGTTTTTATATGTTTTGAAAAGTGTCACTTCTGATAACATATCGCTGGATTTCAAAGTTTTCCCGAAATTTCAATATTTTTCCTAAAACTTTAATAATTTCCCCAAGATTTCCACACGATCGTAGTGACAGTCATAAAGGCTTGTTTCGATGTGACAAACATAAAGAGATGATGTGACAAACTTTGGTTGTAAAAGAAGTGACATTAAGAGCCCAACTCCTTAGTTTGGCCATTCTTTATTGGGCCAATTGTTTTTGGAAAACGTTCTCCCCTGAGGCATAAAATTGTTTTCGGATACCGAATAACATGGTTTTGGATTATTTTATGAGCTAATTACTCTGTTTCACTGTTTTTGTAATTAAAATTCCTGTTTTTGACATTACTTCCCTGAGGCGACATTCTTTTGGAAGTAATTTTTCACGCATTTCCAGCTTAATGCCACTATTTTTATACTGTGCTTTTCAACTTTAAGCTTTTAGCGGCTTTTTTATGTGGTTTAGGGGTCAAAAAGTTTATGGAAAACTTAAAAAATGTCGTTTTTAGGTAAAAAAAGTTTATATTTTAAAAATTTTATTAAAATTATCAAAAATATTTAATTTTTAAAATTAGAAGCCAAAAATAAGCTAGGGAAAAATTTTTAAGGAGTAGATTTAAAATTTTTTAAAAAATAAAAAAATTTTTTTATTTTACCACTGCGCAGTTATTTACCACAGTAAAATGAATAAATTATAATAAATTGGACCAATTTGCAGGATAATGAAGCTGTTTTTCGTCTGCGAATTAACTTTTGTTTTTTATTTGTAACTTGGCATTGTTATCTTCGGAGGCACATCAAAATAATGGTTTTCAGCCAAACTTGAATCCTCTTGCTAAAAATAAAAATCTTTATTTTTTACATAAAAATTGTATGAAAAAAAAAAATTTATGTGTTTATTTTCTTTTCAGGACAGTATTTTACAGTTTTTGAACGGCGTGGTTTTGCCTGGTAGGGTAGAGAATGGAGAGGAGATGAAGCGGGAGGGGATGAAGGAAGGTGGAAGATAAATTTGTAAAAAAAATATAGTTTAACAATTTTTTAAATCTTTATTACTAAAATAATGCAGTTTTAAGATTGATTTTACAAAAATTAATGTTTTCGTTGCGGGACCCGTTTGACTGTTAAAGAAAACTAAACATTGCGAAGAATATAATGTAACAAACAGTGTAACTACTGTACAACGAAGCGCAAGGAAATATAAAAACCGTCTACTGTAGCGAGATTTTGTTATATCATATTAGGAGTTCTTTTATTTAAAAATCAGTTGCAAAATTCTTTCTGGGAGTTTCAAAAAATTCTCTATTAGGATTTTCGTTGTGAGCAGGGCCTTGGTAGCCAGGATTCATCGTATTTTACAAAAAGTAAAAGTTAAATTAACAAAATACATTTTCAAAAGTATTTTTCGGCATTTACTTTTTATTTTATTTTTTCAATTTTGGCTACTTATTTTTGATCAATTTATCAATCTTTTTCTTGCACTTTATAATTTCTATTGATATCATACTTAATATACCTTTTTTGGACCCTATACTTAACCTTTTTAAGCTAATCTTTTAGGTATATACCATTATTTTCAAACCCGCACCTGAATTTCCCTCTTCTACTTCCTTGTACCTTTATTCATCGTCATTATTTCTCTGCCCTTCATCCTCCTTTCCACTGTTTATGAATTTCGGCTAGCCAAAAAAACAAGTAAAAACGGCAATTTTATTTTGTTTGTGGCAAATTAGAAAAAACAATAGAAATTCGAACAAAAAGTTATATTATAGGCCAGAGTTGGGAACAAAAAGTCGTCCATCATTCCCTTTGCGGCCCTTTTTCTGCTAAAAATTGTATTTTAAGCGTGTAATTCGTGGAGGGGGGATGTTTTGGCGAATATTCATGAGATGACATGATTTTTGAAATTTATATGAATCCGCGGTTTGTTTGTGGCTTTGTTTGCGGTTTTATTGGTGACACTTCAGTATTACAAACTTTATCAAAAAGCATTTTGATCTGTGGTAGGGGTAGATAAGGTAAAAAAGACATGCCTTTTGGCAAGTGATAGTATATTATTCTGAAAGAAAGGTCTAGGAGTAGAAGAGCAAGGCAAAAAAACAGAGTAATAGAGTATGGTACCGAAAGGCAAGGCAAGGCAAGGCAGTATATGACTGACGGTTTTTTATTCACCTCCCCTCCCTCTCTTCCATCCACCCTTTTACACAATGATGAAAAAACTAACTGTAAGTACTAAGTATATAGTATTTTTAAATTTCTGTACTAAGTACATGTACTCAAAAGTGCTGACAATGTTTTTTTCAAAGTAATCTTTGTAATCTTTTACCTTTAAATCCGTTAATTTGAATAAATCTCTTTTTATTGCTAATTCGAAAAACACCTGTAAATGGCTTCGTCTATGTTGTACATTCATTGTACTTCCGCTATTTGTGTTATAAAAGCGTGACATTTAATTTTTTGTGATATTTAAACAAGAAGTTTTATTTTTTAAGCTGTGTAAGTGAGAAGTGTATTGTATGTTGTTTTAGTATAAGAAAATATTTTTTACTTTCAGTTTTGTTTAGGTTTTTCTTACTTTCCAATTATGTTGTTATTGTAAAAGGACGGACGAAGTCTTTAGTATGTCTAGTGTTAATTAAAAGGAGTAATTTTAAAGGCATTTACTGTGACAGTGTTTTTTTTACAATCTAGATAAGCCGAGCAAAAAATTATATTTGAGAGCCTGGTGTTTTCCTAGCCTTACCATTGGCTTTGGGTATACCCCTTGTCTAGCCATTATCCTAACCCAAGCCTTACAATTAGCCTTAAGCTTAGCCTTAGGTTAGCGTTTGCTTTAGGCTTCGCTCTGGCTTTAGCCTTGGGTATAATAAAAAATATTTTTTTAAACGTTTTTAAACATTTATGACATTTTGATCGCCTACCCTCAACCTCTAATGCCTTTACCGTACGTCGAAAACAGTTTGATTTAGTTATGAAGCAATTTTGTTTCCAGGAACCCTATCCCGAAGATTGTTTCGAAAGGCCGCAAATCCGAAACAATTGAATTTTTGACAGAATCAGATTAGATTACATTATGCCGCCTTTCTTTTCGTATTTATTTTTCATATTTTCACGATAAATGTAATCCAATACTATTATTCGCATCATATATGAGAGATATGGAAGAGAGTGGCATTTTTGGTTTGGTTTTTACTGTGGTTTAGATGAAATTTACAATTGCTTTTAAGACTTTTGGATTTGAAAAGGAAGTTGTTTGCAATTAGGGCTTAAAGTTTAGAAAATTTAAAAAATTTGAGTTGGATAGAAAGTTTTTGAAAAAAATTTTTTTTAAATAAAGTTTTTACCATGAAAAGCTAAAAATGAAAACTTTTGGAAATATCTGATATTGTAAAGAAAGTTTTTGTAAATGGGAGCTATAACAAAATATTTTTTAAAATTATGTTTTGGAAAGGAAGTTATTGCCAAAAAAAGCCAAAAATAAAAAGTTTAGAAAAATTGGTTGTTAAAAAGAAATTTTTTTGACATTTTTATTTGTATTTTTCCCATTTTTTGTAACTTTTGCTCTTTTTTGTTATTTTTTGTGACAGCCGGCTGTCTGCCAAATTTTAACATTTTTCGGAAAACATTTTAGGCTTTAATACTCCATAAAACAAGGAATTAAGAACGGACGAACGATCGTTTTGAAAAGAAACTTTACTCTCTACGCTCGTACCCGTACTCGAAAGTAGGCGTTATAAAGTTTTCATGGCTCATTATCGTATCTTACGTCTGCCAAAGTTATATATAGACAATTAACCGTGATAGTCATGTGTTGGGGATTGTGGTTCATGTACATATATTATGGTTACCGAGTTGTGTTGAAAAGTATTTCACACTAAGAGTTCAAGAAGGGTCAGCTTTAGTATGGTGGGGGTCGGTTAACATAGGAAGGTAGGGTAGAATATATAACAGTAGGGTTGGGTTGGGTTGGATAGGGCAGGGTAGGGTAGGGTAGAATCACTACTTTTACTTTGCTTTTTCTATTTACTTCTTGACCTTACCATTCAATACTATAAACTTTTCGACCACCTACCCTTGTAACTCAATGTTCCACGTATTTCTTGACCATGCCAACACTCTAATCTTTTCAAAATGAAAAAAGAACGTCTAGCCAATTTCGTGTTAATACGTTATTCCGTTCGAACCTACAAAGGCTTCGCTTCGTATGTTGTTCATCAATCACAAAATTAATTTTAGTGCCAAGAAAGACCGTCCCATTTGTAACGTGAGCACATTAACATGGACAAATGTGCTGAGTTAACAAGCCAACGTTCTTGAGGGTCCTTGAGTGTGATTGGGAGAATCGACTTCATCGTGAGGGTACTCTCGGATTGTGAAGAATTTACCGTGATTACATTGCTATATTACCGTAGTTGTTGTAGTTACTTTGGTATATTAGTGATAAGAACAATCTTTCATGTGGTTGTTATTGGCTAGAAAGGTGATAAATTCTGTATGAATATTGTGGTAAATCTACTTTGTTATCGGATGAATAATGGTGTTTACCGTCGTTACTTCAAACGAGAAAGAAGTCAATGTTCTTCGGCCTTCTGATTGTAGTAGACGACCTCACTTGAAGAACAAAAACACCTACTTTACACTAATCAACAGGTTTACCAGTGCTGTAAATTTAGACTCTACTATTGTAAACGAAGATACTACGACTGTAGAAGAAGCTACGGCATGTTGTAGTAGTTCAACCTATTACCTTGAGAAAGAAAGTGCCAATTTAGATAATATTTATGAAAGTATTCCATGGTCATCAGAAGATACGAAGAATTTGCCGTGTACTTCATATGAAGTTGATGAAGAATTAATTAGGCGTCTTTCTACTTCGTATATTTACAACAGAAATATGGGTACTTATAGTAACAACGAAGGATGTGTAAGTTCATCAACAAGTTCAAGAAGGTCTGCTACAGAAAATCGGGAAAATCCAAAACCTTCAAGGTCGAGGAATACCATATCAGATCACATTATCTTCTCTTCAAGCCACCAACGAAACATGTTCTCAAAGTCTACAACAAGTACGAACACTAACTTCTCATTGTGCCATTCAACATCAACTCTACAACCTAGTAACCTCTTCAAGGTCCTAATATTATCCATGATTCTCCCTCTATCAACCGCCTTCGTCCACGACTACCCCACCGAATATTATCATCAGGTCGCGGCCGATCCCTCTGATCCCTGCCATTTTCCTGTACCTGACTTACAAGATCTTCCAGCCATGTGTAGGTATGAGTACCATCAAGTGCCATTCATCTGTGACCCAACAGCCATGTTGTCGAGGACAGAAGCCCAACTTCTAGAAAAGATGTTCGATGATGTTGCTGTGAGTGGATGTTTGAATTGTCAGCGATCACCGAGAGGTTGTATATCAGATACCACAACGGATTTGAGGGTTTCTGTCATCATCGTGCCTATGTCAAATGTTCAGAAGTAAGATTTTTTTAATTTCGAAGTTGTCTATTAAGCGCCATTCTTTTTGCATCATCCTAACAATGACATTTAGAATAGAACTATGTGTCCTGGGTAGGTCACTAAACACCCATATTGGTAAACCAGAAGCCTTAAATGCATATGTCGACTTTGTTTATCGCCGATGGTCGGAAAGTTCGTGCACAGCAGATCTAACCATATTATACCTCAAAACACTCGAAACGCCGCTGAGAAACGGTGGAATCACAGTATCCGGCCCTATGGTTGTCAGACTTTTCAGGTGAGTTGAATAAACTTTGTTTACAAAGGTTTTTTACTAAAAAAAACTTTGTTTGAATTTAAATTTTTTTAATTCATAAATTTCAAATTTCAAAAAATTGAAATTATAGACAAAATCAAAGTTGTTTCAGAAACCGGCTGGCAGAACTATCACATCTGCAGAATGTGCGTCATGTCACTACAGATCATACCTTACTAGAGGTATTGAGCTCGGAATTGAACCAATCCTTTGCTTTGGCCAAAGCTCAAGAGAGGTTCCAAGCGTATGGTAACAAGAGGTCCAAAAGCTTCGGAGGAGTACCGTTATGGGCGTATGGTATATGTGGTGGACTATTGGCATTAGTGGTGGTTACTTTGTACTTTGGTAATTGTATTACCAAACGACTCAACTTGAAAGCTCAGGTTAGTGGGGGTAGTGGTACTTATTGTATAGTAGTAGTACTGGTTACCTAATCATAATACTCAAGAAGCAGCGCTAGTACTCTTGATATGTGACCTTTTAGAACCATAGATTATGTCTTTTGATAGACATGGATAAATATACCCTAATTTCAGCAAAAGAAGTCGATGAACAACAGAAACCAGAACCAAACGAATGCCCAACAAGCGACGAATGATCGCTGGAGAGCCGGCTTCGGGGGTGGATTAATCTCTCAAGGCGGGGCAAGTGTACAGAACAATAACCCATCAGCCATGTCTAACATGGGAGTGAACAACACTAAATCATCGATGATGTTCCGCCAATTCTCTAACGCCAACGCTAAGAAACAACGTGCTAAAGCAGCTGCACTGGTGCAAAAAATTTAGAATTTTAATAAAGATTTGTAACAGATAACCACAAGTCGTATTTTACATTTAATATTACCGATTTCGTATTTTACTTTACATTTTTTAACTTAAAAAGCACGCCATTCTTTTCGCAACAACTTTTAAAAAAAATTTTTTTAATTCAACTCCACAAAAAACTAAATTAATGTTTTTATGCTAATTAAAACTTTATGACCATCTTATACCCAAAAATCACAATCGACTAGCCTCACTAGCTGGACTTGGCTTTCCATCAGCACGTCTATACAAAGACAGAGCGATAGCACCACCAATACCAATGTTATGTTGAAGAGCAAGTCTTACATTGTCAACTTGACGCTTACCACTTCTTCCACGCAGTTGGTTACACAGTTCAACGCACTGGGCAACTCCTGAAAGTGTTTGTTATAAAATATGTGACAAAAATATAAAACTTTTCAGCTCACTGTGCTGAAATTAAAAAGCTGCACCGTGCAAAACAAAAATAAGAACACTCTTTATTTTAGGTATTAAACAAAGTAAAATGAATAATTTTAGTTCCTCATGAATAGAAAAAACCCTCTTTTAAATATAAAATCATATTAAAAATAAAAATACATTTTTAAAATTGACTTTTTCATAAAAGCAATGACATACCTGTGGCCCCAATTGGATGTCCCTTGGAAATCAGACCGCCAGATGGATTGACTACCCATTTTCCTCCATAAGTATTGTCTCCTTTGTCAACGATTTCACTACCTTTTCCTACTGAACACATTCCCAAAGCTTCGTATGTTATCAACTCATTTGGAGCGAAACAATCATGAAGTTCAACCACCTAAAATAACGTCAAAGTTAAGATTAACGTAAAATTTTTTATAATAAAACGTTGCAAACCATCTTATCTAACACTTTACTACATTTAAAAGCAAGAACAGTGCCAAAAATGGCAAAAAAAGACAAGATTAATTATGTTATCCATCAAAAATCGTGTTTCAAGTCAAAACTATAAAAATTGACACATTATACCTCCAAATAAAAACAAAATTACATTCAAACCACCAAAAAGATCATTAACCCACCTGAACATCATTGATGCTAACTCCACTTCGCTGTAGTAGCCTTCTGGCAGCCGCTTGAACCATGTCGAAGCCGATCATTTTGATGCAGCTATTCTCGGCGAACACACTTTGTTGGTCTGTCGCCAACTCCTGGTTCACAATCTCAACAGCTTGTGGATACAAATGAGGGTTCTTGCGTAGGAAGTTCTCACTGACCAGAATAGCAGCAGCAGCGCCATCTGAAGTTGGAGAACATTCGAGAAGACCAAGATTCTTGTAGATCTCACGAGACTTCAATACCTGTTCCAAAGTGTATTTTTGTTGGAATTGAGACTTTCTGAAAGTATTACGTTCTATAATTATGAATAAAATAGATTATTAGACTTCTTGGTCAAAAATATTGCGAATAACTTGAACGTATAAAACGGCGGCGCAGCCTGCAGTTCAAAGTAAATTAATCAAGGGCGCGAGTCATCAAAAATAAAAAATATTGAAAAAAGGTAAAATACGACCAATCTGTTGTCCGTTGTCGTAAGTAACGACAAAAAATGTTGAGTTTATTTAATTTTACGTTTTTAATTTCAACATGATTTCAGGAAACACTGAATTTAAAAACTTACGGATTATTAATGGAATGAAGATGGTTCTTGTAGCCAATCTTGGCAAAATGTTCACGTTTGGTACCATATTTCTTCATGTGCTCCAAGCCAGCAGCTCCAAACATTTGGCAGGCACTAGGTGAGTTAGTCAACTTGTAGTTGTTATCAACTACCTTCATGTGATTATCAATGGCGTAAGCTCTTCCATCTGGCAATGGTCCCATCAGTTTGTCCATGGATCCTGGTGCCATCTTCTCAAAACCGGCAGCCAAAACAACATCGGCATTGCCGGATTGGACGATTTGTCTTGCCATGAACAGACTTGTTGATCCGCTAGCACAGGCATTGTTCACGTTCATGATTGGAATGCCGGTGAAGCCGATTTCGTACAAAGCACGTTGGCCACAGCACGTTCCACCGAACAAGTAGCCCACGGTGGCTTGTTGGACATCTTTGTACTGTAGACCAGCATCGTTCAGGGCATCAAGGACGGCATCTTTGACTAGTTCTGGGTAATCCTTGCCGCTGGAGCCAGGGCGAGTGAAGGGGGTCATACCCACTCCAATTACGTAGACTTTTGGCTGGGACATGGTGCTGGAATATGGATGATAAGGTGAGAATAATCAACGATATTGTAAAAACACAGTGAAAAATACGGTTTTTTAACAATGCCACTATCATTTCAAGGAGAATTATAGGTATCACACAAAGATTGTTCTCCCCCAACTCTCCAGACACTTTTGTATATTGCAGTAGACCACCCAAACACTTCTCCATCAAAATCTTTGCCCTTTAACAGTTTTTAAAGGCCTTTGCGCGAATTTTAAAATATTTATCCATCATTTATAACACAAGTTTAATAGTATTGATTGCTATTTACTTATGTTTTTGATAAACTACACTTTTTGTGGTTCATCGTTTGTATCATTCATTGTTTATGTGATTTGTTGTAAAATGGGTAATGATATGGAACGATACGTACATTTGCAACATATTTTTGCACTTTTATTTGAATTTTCTTTTAATTACTTTTGTCTTTGATAATTTTGAATAAGTGATTATTGTTTTGGATAATTGTATCATTGTGATAAGGAAGTAGCGACGAGTGTTTGTTTATTATAACGTTGTTAAACCTTTTTGGACATTCTTTATATTAAAAAAAGTTTAGAAAAAGGACTGCCAGGATAGGCTTAAAATTTTATTAACAATACTTTAAGTTGTGTAAACTGAGATCATATACCCCTAAACTGATTAAAACACTATAATACAAAGACCAATATGACCTGTAATACAACGTCCAAGATGACCCTTCAAAAACCCTAAAGAAACAACATAAATGCAAAAACTATACTAAAACAATATTACTTTTACACCTCACATACTCTGTGCATTATCACTAAAAACCGTTTCACAAAGTATCAAGGCCACCATGAACAAGAAGTAGACACACAACAACAACATGGCATAGTACTTGTTAGTACGGAACCGAGACAATACCAGTATTGTAAGACTGCCAAACACACTGACACACATAAACCCATACATGAACAGCTTCTCAATGTCCACATCTATATCAACTGTTTTTCCTTGTAATACGGCGATAGTAAACGATAGACCGAAGCCGACTAGAAGGTTAAAAAGTGGGCCACCGAACGCGGCAGCTAGGGCCATCTGAGAGTAACCTTGTTTGGCTAGGGACGTGTCAGCGACTAGGTCGCCGATACTGTTGGTCCAGCCGAGGACTGTGACTCCCAGGATCTAAAATTGGATTTATGAGGGACTTAGCATTATGTAGCCTTGTAGAAATTTTAAGAGATATCAAACTATGAGAGAAAAAGTGGCCCAGGCAGGAGTCGAAAGCATTATGTAGCCTCTTAAAGGACCTGTGAACATATTGTTTGAAATGTTGGCGTGAAGTTGGTTGGGCCGCGTAAAATTGGCGTTCCGTTTCAAATCCAGCGAATTTTTCGCGAAAATATTTTTTTCTTGGAGAATATTATTTTTGTGTTTGAATTGTTATTTTGGAATTCATATTAATATTAAACTACTTGTAGCGCTCTTTTTGTTAATTTTCTCAAAGTTTTATCCTTATATTCACTTTTGACATTGTGAAGGTGAATATTTCGATAACATTTTGAGGGTTTTGACCAAATTTTGAGCGGAGTTTGCTAAAAAAGGTAAAGGTTTATTTAATTACCAACTTTTTAACATATATAATTTTTTTATTTTTAGGGTTTATTCACCATGATCGGCATCTTCTTCAAGTTCTACGTCCAATATCTACATCTTCAGTCTATAATGTATGTTTTCACAATATTTTGTTTCTCTTTTTAGGTATATACACCATGGAAGCAATAGGATCTACTCCATCTCTTTTTTCGTTAATTTGTTTCAAATTTGTGTATTTACTTGTTTGAACTTACTTTTAGGTTAATTTTCATTAGCTTTTCATTTAATACTCCAATTGATGCTTTTATAAGATTTATTCTAACAATATGTTGCATTAAAACAATAAAAATGATCAATTCTGTCCTTGTAAGACGATTAGTGCAACAATCACTGCAGATCTACCTCTCATAATAAAACAACAGTTAAATTACGTGTAGAATTTGTACAATAACAACATCAACTCTTATATGAATAAATGTCTTGATGGAATAGCTGTGATTATGTCTCCTTGTCAACGCATTAACTAAACGAATGAACGCTTTTCATACTGTCTATTACAATGTAAAAATGTATTCTTTGTATATTATTATTTCAATGGTGTATATACCTAAAAACAGAAACAAAATATTGTGAAAACATACATTATAGACTGAAGATGTAGATATTGGACGTAGAACTTGAAGAAGATGCCGATCATGGTGAATAAACCCTAAAAATAAAAAATTATATATGTTAAAAAGTTGGTAATTAAATAAACCTTTACCTTTTTAGCAAACTCCGCTCAAAATTTGGTCAAAACCCTCAAAATGTTATCGAAATATTCACCTTCACAATGTCAAAAGTGAATATAAAGATAAAACTTTGAGAAAATTAACAAAAAGAGCGCTACAAGTAGTTTAATATTAATATGAATTCCAAAATAACAATTCAAACACAAAAATAATATTCTCCAAGAAAAAATATTTTCGCGAAAAATTCGCTGGATTTGAAACGGAACGCCAATTTTAAGCGGCCCAACCAACTTCACGCCAACATTTCAAAAAGGGTTTTTTCGAAGGTTCACAGGTCCTTTAAAATTTGTTTATATTCAGTTTGAATTGGAAACTAGTTGATAAAGGTCTAGTTATGAAAAATATCATGTTAAAGGGCCTGCTTAGTAGCTATAAAGAATATCAGGGTCTATTAAAAAAGGCACAAGTTCCCAATATTTGATGACTTACTTCTGGAGACAATTTAGAGATGATTCCAAGCATTTGTACTGTGCCAACAACTTCAGCTGCTACAGCGTAAACCCATCCAACTGATACCACAAAGCCGCAGCAACAAGAAATCATCTAAACTTTTGAATAAACATTGTCGCAGACCAAAAATTTTTTTCATTTAATACTCGACATTCCTGGGTAAGCAAAGTACTTTAAAATAACTTACTTTATAATAAGTTGGTTCTTTATCAACAGAAGTAGTAGCCAATACCAATACGAACAAAATAGCCGATACACATAAACATAAGGCCCATAATTGCAACCCGACTCCAAAGATGTTCATTGTAGTTACTGAAAGTTGATTTGTAATTTTCAAGGAATTTTGATTTTGAAACCCTTGAGTGTACAGTAAATTTGGAACTTTTAAATTTAAAATTCTTTTGTTATTAATATGTATATGATAGTATGACCTACACTGAAAGGCAAAAAGTAGAAACTGTGGTGATACGACAAGATGTATCAAAGTTAAAGCCTTACACCAAGGTGGTTGGGCTAACGGCGTGGATAAGGTTAGCAGAACCATCCATGAAAACTAAAATATCTTTTTTAAAATATAAAATTAGTCGCAAAAGTATCTAAAGCTGATATAAAGAATATTTATTATGATACAAAATTTTTTCATGTGCTATACGTTTCAGTACAAGGTTGAGGAAAGACGCTACCTACCTGACAAATCTGAAAGATCTTCATGTACCAGCTGGCCTCGAAGAAGTCTTTTTCATCAAAACAATTCAATCTGGCAATAAAATCAGCCAGAATCCCACTAAAACTAACATCTTGACAAGGCAGTTCTTCATCGTCACTTTCCGAATACATGTGGTTGGCAGTACCATTTGTGACTGGCTTTATTGAATTCGACCTTTCCAGTTGAGACAAAGTACTCGATATTGTGTTAGGCTGTATGTGATGATGATGATGAGCATGACCTGTGGCTGGTCTTACAAACACGGCATTCTTGGCTTCACGCCATTTTTGTAGCCGGAGTAACATACGACCAGATACCACGGTTAGTGCGTAGATAACATAGATTATTAAGAAGCCAACCGGTTCCCAGATGAACAAGGTATTGCTGAAGAATATGATAACACCTAACCATAGTAAGGCGACGACGTAGAAGCCAAGGTTTCTGATGGTTGAAATAGCATCTAGCTGGATTGGCGTTATTAGTATTACTATTGGGACTACTACTGTCGTGATGAACATACCGCCACCTGGAATAAAAATGTATGAAAAAGGCAAGGCAGGAGCTGTAAAAGACTAGTAGAGTAGGGTAGGACAAATAATTACCTAATAACTGACCGAATGCTAGGCCAGCTTTAGGACTTTCATCACTGACAGCTGACGCTATGGCTGAAAAAATGTCCGGTGCTCCATTGCCAAACGCCACTAAAGTAACACCCTAAAGAAGTTTTTTTTTAAATTTTACAGTACCAATTATAATACTGACCGCAAAGTTATAATAAGCCAAAACTTACCGCGACACTTTGTGAAATTTTAAATTTTTCGGCAATTGTGGTAATGTTGGTTGATAAGAACTCATCAGCACTGACTGCCAGAAGGATGAATAACAATAATAACCATATGATTGATATAACCAAGAACAAGACTTCAGTAAGGTCAGTCTCCTGACATACGATGACACTTGTCCAGGCAATGTAGCCACCGCCTTCGCAGTTACTGTATGAGTTGAGCACGTAGTCACAGGCTTCTGAAAGTAATTTTTATTAAGTTTAAAAATTTAAAATTGCAAAATGAACATTTTAAACCCTACCTCTACTTCATATTACTTATGACTTTATAATAAAGTAAAAATGATTTTCCTTACGTGTTCGACCCCACGAAGCACGTAGAGTACAGTCATCATCGAAGTCATCGTCAGATTGCATGTACGATGGCAGTCGCGTCTGATTTTGTAGTCCTTGAATCAGTTTGGCGTACGCATTTTTAAAAGCGTCGTCGACTGACATTGCGGTAGAGTTCTACAAGCAAATTCATGATGAACATACATAGTAATGTCAATTACAACGGCCACAGAAGTGACAAAAAGGCACTTTTTAAATATGCCATTTGAAGCTACAGTTTTGCTCAAATTCTAGGTATATTTTGTTTACTTTGCGGTAAATACTATCATTACGGTGTGATAACATCAGTTGAACTGGAAAACAAAACGCATTACAAGAAAACAACTTATATTTAATGTTATAGTACCTTGAATACATAGTTTTTAAACTTTTACGTTATAAACTTTCTACTTTCTGTGGCTCTGTACCCTGTTTAACATCCTATGATTCTGTAGTACCTAATTTTCTTATGTAAAATACGGTGGCCCTAATAAATGTCTTAGTAATGAAAACAGTAAAATAAAAAGTAATATCAAGATATACAAATCCCTACACCCTCAAGTCGTGACCTTGCTAACAGTTTTGAATTCCAAATCAGCCCTCAAACTCTTGATAATTCATTCAAATCGCTCAACATGATGGTCATGAAGTTTTCACGGAAATGCTAATTTTCGATTATAAATGTTGACGTGAAATGTTAATAGTCTAGTAATTTTACTTCTTCCGGTTTTAGGGCTCAATACGTTGCAACACATGGTGGTAGTGTTTTGAGTGAACTTTAAGTTTCTTCCTAACGATGTTATGGAGCAAGGGATCACTTATATTATACTTTCTTATAAGTGATCCCTTATAAGAAAGTATGTCTTTAAAGGTCTAGTCCTGCCATGAGAATCAAGCTTACTATGAGAATGAACATGAACTAAACCACCTTATAGTTATAGTAAACCCTAATAGGCAAAAAAAGTTAAAAACATAATAAACTTCCTAAACGCTACTTAGTATAATGCCGAACATAAACGTTATGATAAATCTATTATAGTAGTTTACGTTTCCCACAACGTAAACTCCAAAGCTTTTTTTTACATTTTGGTATTTGAACTATGAGAAAACGGTCTGTTATCGTGAGATTCACGTAGACATAAAATTTTTAAAAAAGAATGTAGTTTTAGGTACAGGTGTTCATAAATCAAGTACGCATATCAGCTTACCATAACAATACTCTAATTTAAAGTCCTATATTAAAGCTTACCTGAACCAGCACATTTTCCCGTAAGTGAGAGAATTAGATTTGTAAATAAAATTAGGTCACAGCATCTGAAAAAGTTTAAATTTAATATTTGATTAGTTTATTGCAGTACTTTTAGGTCGAAAACTAAAGGCTGGACAATTGATCTCGATTAAACTTTTTTGCGAATATTATAGCATATAACAATGAACAGTAGACAAACTTTAATATATTAAAAAGAACTGTTAAAAAAATTATTATCAGTATATATAACAAAAGAAAAATGTGAAATTTTTTAAATTTGTAAAGTAATGACTATTTTTTCAGACGAAATCAGTTATGATTGATTCATAGCCAAATAAATTCATTACTAAAAATTCAGGAACTTTTTATAGCTACCTCAATAAAAATTTGACTGGAAACATTTAAAGTGTTTTAAATACCAAACGTCTACGTTCCAAAGGTCTGAAGCAATTATTTAGGCAGCCAAAAACGAAATTTTCATAAATTTCATCAGAACGTCACGAAAAGCTTGTCAGAAAAATATTTACGTTTTTACTGTGCGTATATTAAAAAAACTGCATGTAACAACAGTTTTAAATAGTTAAAAAGAGAATGTATTAGTAGAGAAATAAAAGTTTTTTTTTCAAAATTTAAAGTTCAAGCTGAGTATGCGTAGTAGCATGTAAGAATTGAACACAAAATACCCCTAAATTACCTTCTTTATACAATTTTTAACTTATTTACAATACTATATTACTTAACTTAAATCGCTTATATCTACCTCACTTTTACACACAACTAATAACTTGGAAATAGAAAAGATGCTACGTATTTTTGTCCCAAGTATTTCATGATACTTTCACGTTTTTTACTAAAAACAATATTACACACAAAACGATTTAAAAAATTTCTGTGAAATGACAAAAACAAAGCGCTTTAAATGCAAAATATTTTTTATGTTCGATGTAAAAGTTTGAAATGTAATGCTATTACAGTAGTTAAGAGACTTATCATTGGTAAAACACACTCAATTCAATTAGTATTTACTAATAAGATACGTTTACAGTAACAGAATAAAGCTTGTTCTTTCGACATTTCATATTTTGTGTAACAAAAGTTATTTTACGTCTATGATATCTCGAATTCTGAGTATCACTTGGTCTGTGTCGTGACAGACAACCTTGTTTTTATTCAAATTCAAAAGACTTAAGCTTTGCCTTTTGATTGAATAACATTAATGAATAGTAACATTATATTACCGTTACCTATATCAAAGTTACGACCTAGATTTTTAAATATAAAATTAAACACTTATGTCTTACATATACATCTAGCCAAACTAATTATAATACAGGTTTACTCGTTTCAATAATTTAGATCTATTTATAAGTTATTTACATTCGTACCGTAGTTGAAATTAGGTAATGGATCTTGTGAGGTAAATGTTAATGTGCTCATGTTGTTCGCCGTTCCATGATGACTCAATAAGAATACTCTTTCATGAGGCGTCGGTTTGAAGCGTGGCTTCAATCCCGTGAAGTATTGGCACTGAAAAATATAATATACAGTAGATGCCAGCAAAAAAAGTAAAAAAATTAACAGTAATTTTAAAACATACGGAAAACTAAATTACAGTAGCTCCTCAGTAAAAATAAGACTACATAATGCAGTTACAAAAGCTTGTAGATAAAAGTAAAGATAAAGAAAGTTACAGTAACCCTTGATGAAAACAATGTTGAAAAGCGACGTTACAGTAAATTATTGCTCAAGACAATATTAAAAAGTGAAGTTACGGTAAACCAATGACAAAGGCAACCATAAAACAATCAATTTCATAACTAATCTACTGAAAATGTCTCTTTACAATTAAAAATAAAACTGTAGTAAGAGATTTTACGAAGTAAAGAAATTGCTAGGAGCTCCAGCACTTCGGGTTTTCCCCCTCGTCAATGTTGCATTTTTGTATAGCCGATTGAAAGCACACGACTTCCTCGGTGTAAGGAAATGCTATATTAACAGAGATCGAACCAAAGTCTCTCGAATAAAAAGCGAAAGCGCTGCCAGTCGGCTAGGAAAACATAAGAGAAGTAGACGTTAGGAAGGGGAGTTAATGTATCGAGAATAAGGAGGTGCGTATTTTACATTGCTTTTCATACAGTGAAACTCCTGTACAATAAATTCCTCTAAAACAAACAAATTTCAAATCTCCAATCAATTCATTATACAGAAGTTCTACTATGTTTGCTTTATATAATAAAAATATGTATTTTAGCCACTTTTTAAAGAATGTTTAATATCCAAAAAATTAGTAAACTTACCATAATCATCATAACCACAATACCAACCAATGTCCCAACAAGAACATCTGACCAATGATGCCAATTGTCAAATATCCTAGTGTAAGCAATGTACAAAGCAGTGCAAAAGTACATTGTTTGGAAGATTGGGACTATTACTCGACTTTTCAGTAGACCATATAGCCGGTCTTGCAAGTAGATCTGAAGTAAAAGATTTTAAACATAAATAATATCCAAAAATAATTAAAATAACACAAACACTAAAAATTTAAAAAAAGCAAAATTTAGAAAAACACGTTTTTACAAATAACACTAATAACCTACCACACCAAACGTAGCACTCCCAACAGACAAACTTGAATGTCCACTGAAGAACGACAGTCTTGCTTCCAATATCTGAGCACTCAACCCACTAGTACAATAGTAGTCAACAATCTCCGATGATGTATTACAACTGTCATATCCAACATTTGGCCTACATACGTCCATGAAATGTGGCCTTAGTCGTCCTACCGGGTACTTTGTGGCTGATGTCAGGGTCATTATTACTAGGATTGATGCTATGTAGTACCCTGAAATATCGTTTTGTTAAAACTATGTATAAGTTTTAAAAACTTTAAAATTTTTAAATTGCACAAAAAGGTTTGGGCTCAGCCGGTGATCGAAACCGGGGCCTCTCGCACCCAAAGCGAGAATCATACCACTAGACCACTGAGCCGCGGCATCCTTTCGCTTCATCCGCTGCTATCCCCTAAAGGCATCTTCAAACCCCGTAGCAGCGATGAAATCATTACAAGATTCCAAAGAGAAGCTTCTCACGTTTATCCGCTGAGAAGATAAAGAAATCAAGAAGAAAGATCGCCGCGGCTCAGTGGTCTAGTGGTATGATTCTCGCTTTGGGTGCGAGAGGCCCCGGTTTCGATCACCGGCTGAGCCCAAATCTTTTTGTGCAATTTAATAATTTCACATGTAAAAGTCAGTCACTGTAAAAATAATAATTTTTTAAATTTTAAAACACTAGAGGTTAAACAATTGTAGCTTTAACAAAATTTCTTGATCAAAAAGCTGATTTTTACGTCATTAAAAATTAATTTTTATAAAAAGTTGAGACGATTGTCTTACCATGGAAGATAGCCAATCTGATAAGCAATTTCATAGTATGAGGTCGTCCATTTTCGTACGTTGAATACGTTTCTACATTTGTCCTTGTTCTGTGCATTCTGTAGCATTCGACAGCAATAATCTAAAATTGTCCTTCGTTACAGTGCTCTAAATTTAATATTCAAGCTCAAAAAAGTATTATTATATCTAAAAATTTTTTTTAACTTAAATATAGTCAAAGCTTGGTCAAAATATAGCCAAAACAGTCAAGCGGGCAAAAAGTATTCAGCTTTCCGCAACTTACTAGAACTTACCATCAAAACATTAGGTATCAATAGAAACATGATTAGTGTAAATAAACTGATAGTGTTGGGTTTGTACTCGTATCTGATAGATTCATCGTCGCAGAAGAATCCTCGCTCGTATGGGCCGTAAATACGACAAAATAGTTCCAACCCTCCAGCCATGGCGACAACCAAAGCAGCATCTGTCAAATATCTTCGGATAGGTAATGGTTCTCGTTCTACAAAAGATGACAAGTCGCCAGCATTGGCTTCTACATCTAGTGATGGCTCTATGTCTGTCGTATCTCGGCCTTGCATTTTGCCCTAAAAATGTTGAATAACGTAAGTTTGACGAGTATATAGCGCTGTTTTAAAAAACAAGTGTTAATATAGTCAAAAAATGGCTAAAAACAAACTTTTTGTATACAATTTGGTCAAAAACTACATAGAAAAATATATAACAAGATCCCGATGTATAATAAATATCAAGTACTACGTATTTTTTGACCATACTGACTATAAACAGTCACGATCTAAACATTGTTTACGCGTAGAAAGATAAAGAAAATTAACATTGCCTCACAAAAAATAAACCAATATGACTTTTTAAGAGTAGAACAAGGTAAACAAATTCCAATATTACTCTCAAAACTGAACTTTGTAATTCGAAAAGCAACAAGTCAGAAAAAGAAAAAACTTATTTTTAATGTAAAACCTATCATAATAGCTATCAGAAAACGAGCTCATATCAGCCGAGCTTACAATATTGCTACTTTTACCTTTAAAAATCGATTAAAGATAAACTACTGCTCTCTAAACTGACAAAAACCCATCCTTCGAGCTCTTAAGTCTTTTCAAATCAGCCCATCAAGATTGCAAAATCGGTTATCACTCAATTCCTTAAGCGGAACAATAAAGGCGAACTGTTGATATAGATTATTTTCCTCTCTTTTGCTATGCTGCAAAACACTATCAATGCCAAAACCCGTTGTTTTTAATTTGATAGAGCAAAGTTAACATTCCAAAGAGAAATTAATTGATAAAGTACCATAATATGGCAAGTATGACCGTTAGTCAATGGATGGTTAGTAATATTGATGTGTATAAAGTAAGTAGATGTTTTTTTTAATTTGACAAAGACAGGATTAAAATTAAGAAAAATATCATAGTCTAATAAGAAATCGCTTTTATATATGCCAAAAAATGTTGATAAACGTTATCCTAGTACCAAAACCTGAAGTAGTTCGTTAAAGATGTTCTCAAATTGAACTAAAAGAACATATTTTAATAATAAAAACCTCATGGTATTTGTAAACAAAATATCAAGTCAAAAACGTTAAAAACGTATACATTGGTTAATTCAAAAGTTATAAATTATGACATTCCAGAACACATTTTCAATGAAAAAAATAAAAGCCAAAAAAACATATAAACAACTAATAAAAAGTACAACAAAAATCTTGTAAATACCCAAAAAATAGGTTTTAAATACTAAATTAAACACAAAAATGTATAAAACTCCCTAATATAATTTAAATCAGCTTACAGAACAAAAACAATGTTTATATACTCCTTGTTCTTGATAACATTCAGAAGTAGGTCAATAAAAACGAACGTTACCTAATAGTGTACTCAATACAACATTGACTAAACTGTAAGTTTTCCTCGAAAAACAGGCGAACGTTCGAGTTATAAAAAGAAATTGCAAGTTTTTATACCACAATTGATAAAGAAAGTGTCTAATTTGCAAAAAATAAAGATTATTTGATATAAAAAGAATGAACGTGACATGCCAAGAATAATGTGTGTATAAAAATAACTGTAGGTTTATATATTTTAATGGAATTCACATAAATATACCTTATTGTTAATTAAATTATAAAAACCAGAAATATAGTGAAAGAAAACTTATCGTACCTTTAAAATAGAATTTTCTCAATCAAAATAAAGTAGTAAAGTTACAATAACCAAGTAAACCCTCTATTGTTCACAATTTCTCCGAAATTTTACAAAATTTTGTTCTGTGACACTGCGTTTCGTTTTCCGATACTTTTGTGGCGTCCCGCTGGTTCGTAAAATATCAAAAAATGTTTTCGGAAATCCGTTCCCTCTGCGTTTATCTTATTACTCTCTGGTGGAAGATTTGTCAACCGCGAAAAGTTTAATGGGCGTTGCGACACATTTTTCAAAATTTTGGTTCTGCTCATGAATAATATAGTCCTTTCTTCTTGTTTTGGGCTTTTGAAGGGCGAAATTAATATTTAAATAAATTAGTGGTGTTTCAGATGAAACTTTGCTGTCTTTTGTACTTGTTTTTGTACTTTGCCAATGGTACTTCTAATATTTTTTTAGTATTGTGTTTTTCATGTTAAGTATCTTATTTTAGTCGTGAGAATTGCGAAATCTAATACAACTCGGTTTGTTATTTGTTTAATTTCAGGCTCTACCGGATATAAACGAGCCACGGGACAGGTGTATTGAATAGAACCCGTGGAGGGAATTTTAACAATGTCTCCAAGTACCGAGACTTTGGACTTTTTACTAGATTGGGTGAGTAATATTGAGTTTTTTGCTTTGATTTTTAGGGTTTTGGAGATTTTACGAATGTTCACGCGTACGAAAGTCTTTCTTTGTTTTGAACGACAATTAGAAAGAGTGAAAAACGAGATAGCTGAGCAAAGCGATTTTTTGAGCGAAATTATAACAATATAAATTGGATTTTATAAAAAATATTGGTTTGACTTAATTACTGATGCAAAGTGACACTATTTTACAAAACCATAATGAGCATGAGAATAACAACGTATTTTCAAAGCAATTTTACATAATATTGGATTTTAGGCAACAAAATCACATCCGGGATCAGAAGTTTTTACAAGAGACAACGTGGTCGATGGAAGGTTAATATCAGAGCTTCTTTATTCACTGTAAGTTTGTAAATAAAGTTTCTTACTCTCTTTAGATGTGAATCACATTTTACGGACAGATTTGTCACTGACGTGCAGGATATAAACGATCAGACGTTGGAATCGCAGGTGAAAAGGATAACATTAGTGAGGACGAAGATTGAAGAGTTTTACGAAAACAAATGTAAAATCAATTTGACTGAGGATTCGACGTTTCTTCCTGAACCTACTGATTTAGGTATGTTTTAAGAATTTGTTTTTTAACCATAATAATTTAATTTTAAAAAACAAAGTTGAGGTCTTAAGGATTTGGGTAGGGTATATGATTTAGATATCATTAAAAATGTCAGTCGATATACTATTTTTATTTATAATACGTATTTTAGTCGCAAAAGAAGAAGATGCAGTGTTAAAGTTCCTTTTTGTGGTATCGACGATCCCAACAGTTCTTAATCATATCAGTAAGTCAGATATTTTATTATTTAACATGTTATCTTTGTGTTTGACGATGGTTTTTATGGTTAAACTTTGACGTTGATGTTTAGCTGCTCGAAAAATGCAGGAGATGCTTCGACATTCGCCTCAAGAAGTCCAAGACAGCATAAAGGCGATGGAACTACAGTTTATCGAGATTATTCAAGGGCAAAGTACAACTGATTTTAATGTGGGTTTTAAAATTTCAAAGTTTGATTTTTTACATTTTTAAAACAAAGTGATTCAATCATCTTTTACAATACCGTTTAGTTTTATAAATTTTAATTATCAATACATATTTAAAAATTTTTAGGCCAAACTCCAAGCCGAACTTCAAAAGTCAAAGGAATTACGAGGGAAGTTAAGTGAAGCAACGAATCAAGTAAGTCTATAGGAAGAAATAACTTTTTCAGTAAGATTAACTACTATTTTTAATAAGAATAAGAAGCTGTAACGTGAAATGCATATGAAACAAAAAATTTTAATGAAGGATGACGTTTCCCGTCGGTTTATTTTGTGAATCGAACGAGTGGGAGCGGTAAAAGCGGGAGTTCCAAAAGGGGAAAGATTAGGTTTTGGGGGCGAGGAATACAAATTAAACGTTTATGGATATTTTGGGGTTTGATGAGTATGTTATGGATGTGTTGGGTTCTATGAATAGAAGTGAGAATGAGGTTAAAAATGAGGTTTACTGGTTTTTGGCGCTTTAGTAAAGAGTATTGGCATATTACAGGTTTTAAGTAAACGTTATTTTGTATTTTTTTGTTTTGAATAACATATAAAAGGACTAGTTGTTCGTAAAGTCCTATAATAATATTGTTTTAGAACGCGATTTTGAGTGACCGACTTTTAAAAGTGGAATTCGAACTGAGCCACGCTAAAGATGAACTGAAGAAGTACGCTGAAGACTCGGTCAGCAAAACCGAATTGGAATTGAAGATGGACGACGCAAAAGCATTGGAAGATCGCCTCAGGCAGTCGGATGAATTGTCAAGAAAACTGGAGGGAGACGTTTCCGAATTGGCACTGAAATGTGAACGATTGGATGCTGAAAACAACAAACTTGTAAGTTTTTATGTTTTTTTTTGGTTTTTAGAGTGAAGTTTGTATTGCTGGAACTTTTAAATTTCAAAAAATGACAAAAATGTAAAAGTTTATGCTATGATACATGAATGAAGATTGATTTTTGAAGGTTTACAAAGCTTATTATTTTAGAAGAACCGAGTACGAGAAGCAGAAGAAGACCTCCAAGACCTAAAGACAGAGAAAGTGAGTATAGATCACAAACTATCATTGGCCGAAAGCAGAGCTTCAGACTTTGAAAAGAAGATGAATATGCTAAAAGAGTACCAAAAGGCAGGCCCAGGGCAGTCCGAGTTCAACGCTTTGAAAGAACGATATCAGAAGATTTTGAAAATGAATTCAGAATTAGAGGAAAAGTGTTCGGCGATGGAAACTTACAAAAGACAAATGGATAATATGCAAGCCAATGTTCTGATGCTGCGATCTGAGAAGCAACAGACAGAAGAGATGTTGTTTAAAGCACAAACAAAATGCAGAGATCTAAAGGATCAGTTGATGAAGGCTAAGAGTCAGAATGAGGAGAAGAGTAGCGTAGCATCGTCATCACCGACGCTACATGAAGATTTGGGAGGGCATTTTGGGAGTTTTGACGATGGGAAGTAAGTTTTTGAGCTAATTGTATTGACAGTGGTACTTTTGGTACAAATATTTTAATATTATATTAATTTATGTAGCATAAATTAAAACATATTTTTAATTTAGGTTTCATCTTAAAAGTTTTTTATTAATTTGATAAAAAATGTTTGGATTTTTTGTAATTTCTTTATAATTTATGGAATTTTTGAAATTTTTTAAAAATATATAAATCTTTTCTTTTAGTTTGGACTTGGTTGATACCAAACTACGTGTGTCGACCTTAGAGACGGACAAAAAACAATTAGAACAAGAGTTAGCTGCTTACAAACAAAACTCATCGTTCGAGATTCAACGAGCTAATCAGAGTGCGGCGAAGGCTCGCGAGGAGAAGTTGGAGATGGATTTACAATTGGAAACTATGAAGACCGAGTTGCAGAAGTGTAAAAGTGAATTGGCAGCTACTGATGATAAACGCAAACGGACTGATGGTATGTTGTCATATGTTTTTATTGTGTTTTTGTAGGGTTTTATATTTAAAAATAGTAGAAAAAGAATCAGAATTTGAATAAGAAGAGAGAGTATTGTTACCTAAAACTAAAATCTGATGATAAAACGGAATTCAATTGATTTTAAATTTTAGACGAACTTCAAAAGCTAAAATCTCGAGTCTGCGATTACGAAGAAACAATAAAACGCTCGGCTCAAATCATCTCAGAGTACGTCGTACTCAATTCAGATGACACTTCAAGTGGCCTAGGTGGAAGTGAAGTTCTGGAGCTGAAGGCTGAAGTAAAGCGATTAGAAGAACAGTTGAAATCAGTAAGACAACAAGCCGACGCTTACCGACACGTTGCTACAGAAGAACAACGTTTGATTGCAACAGAATTCTACGAACAAGCAGCTGATGTGATCCAAAGAAAACACTTGGCTCAGGAAGTTAGACAGACCTTGAGCTCGGAAATGGCGCATCCAAACACGGAACGACCAAACGAATACAGTAGTCATAGGCATTTAAGTGATTTACAAAGTGGAACGTCGTCTGCGAGGTTAGTTTTGGGGTTTTTTAGTTTAATTTTAACTTATTTGACTTATATTTTGATGACTTCTTCTTATGGTTGTATTAAAATTGTGAAACACAATATTATCAACGAAAAATTCTAATTTTAGGTCAACCCCCACAACCTCAGTCTACCTCAACTCATCGACAAACTCAATGTCCAGTTCGGTGAACCAGACTCCTCTAACTGCACCATCTCAGGACTCGGGAATATCCTCAATTTTCAAAACTTTCTTACGAAAACAGCGGGAACCCAATAGCAGTCGAACCCCAGCGAGGTGACTTTAACTTATTTTACATCAACTCAACTCTTACTAAGTAACAGGCGCTTTGGGCCGCGGTTTTTTTTACATTACTCTTTAGTTTTAACATTATTTTGCAAATTTCCACGGTTTTATTTGTTCTTTTTGAGATATTTTGGTTGATTTACGGGTATTCGGGGATATTTAGGCAGATTTGTGTATATGATCTTCATTTTAAAGTTATTTTGGGGGTATTATTGGCCAAGTAATAATCTTGTACAGGTGATCAAGGCCTTAATAATTTTTTTTTTTGGTTTTAGTAAGGCTGTTTGGTACAGTTTTTTGTTTTATTAAGGGTTTTTTGATTGTTTAAGTCATTTTTTTAGCCTATAGTTTTTTAGTTCTTTAAAATGATTTTTGAAATATACTTTTTTAAATTGCTCAGTAAAAGAAGGTGATAACAAAATCCATGGTCTTACACTCGAGATTGTAAACAGTTCTCTTTATGATATCGTTTAAAGTCAGGTTGTTTTACTCAATTTTTTCATTTTTTAGTTTGTTTTGGGTTTTTTTCGCTTATGTTGGCTTTAACTATGGTTGGTTTGTTGGTATTGTAGATTTTTGATAATGTTTTTAGTTTCAAAGCTTAATTTTTTGAATTGGGTGTGGTTTCAAAAGGTTTTTTTTAAATTTAACAAAAAACTATAAAAATGGTTTGAGATTAAGTGCTTTATGTGAACTGAATGTTTCATGTTGTAAAAAAAGCTCTGTCATATTTTGAATTTACAATACTAACAAACATAATCTCGATGATGTATAATACAATAAAAACGTCACAAATCGGTTTGGGCTGTGGTATTTTTGAAGTTTTAAAGTTTTATTTTGTTGTTTGCTGCTTATCTTTTAAGTCAATTCATTAATTCTTTCGCATTTTGAATTTTGTAGGGAACAAATTAATGGATTCATAAAAATTGTAAATTTTCTAAAAAAGTTTTAAAATAAAAAATTGCGAAAGGATTAATGGATTGCAATGTATTGTTATAGACAATGTATTGTTAGAGGACATAGCTAAAGCTGGATTTACAGTTCTTTTTAACAGATGGCCAGACCAGCACAACGCCCAAGTCATACCTCCAAAGTCGATGAGAGCCAACGGAAACGTATTTCCTGACCAAAGGTTGATCTAACTGCATTTACTTTGTGTTTTTGGTTATTGTAAGGTTTTTATGGTACTGTAGTTTTATATTTTATTATTTTTTACAATTTCTTGCCGTTTTTTTAGAATTGTTGCGTATTTTGTACTATAACATATATTGCAGTAGTAGTTTTACAGTAACAGTGTTAGTTGTGATTTTTTAAAGTGTTTCGTTAAGTATAATATTGAATGGTTGTTGAGTATAATATATAGTGGTACGGTTGTGATTTATGGCATAATAATTGTGTGGTATAATTGTATTTTGGGTGGTATTGTGATAGTTGTTGTGGTGACGCAGAGAAAGCTTTTAATCGTCTTTCAACAAGTAAATTGTGATGATAAGGTAGCCCATCACTTTGAATTTGAAATTGTGATCTTAATTTATTGCTAAATAAACTTTTATTATTGCTGATATTGGATTCTTACTGTTTAGTTCAAAGACTGTTTTCTTCAGTTTATAATTTTAAAGTTTTGTCAGTAGTATGGTTAATAAGTGAATGTTGTAAGTATGAGTTTGGTCAAGAAATGAATAAAAAAGTAAAAAATTTGACATTTTTTTAGCTTCGGTAGCTGCCCCAGGCTATGAAGCCTCCAAAGGAAATTCCATGGAAATCATTTGAAGGTCTTCTGTCTCGGCCAAACGCTCAACAAGAATTCCAAGACCGAACGAGTCAACTTCAGAAGCTATCCAAAGCCGCCGAATCTGGAGAACCAAGAAAAGCGGATGAGAATAAGGATAGTATGATTCGAAAAGTGTCGAGTATGGCCAATCGAATAGCCTGGGGCAAAGAATTGAAGTTCAAAAAAGGCGATTCAGCTGTGTTGGTGCCATTGTTGGAGAGGAAGAATCAACCTCATCTATTGTTCACTCAAAGATCATTTCAATTACGAGCTCATAGAGGTGAAATCTGCTTTCCTGGAGGCAGAATGGACCAAGGAGAAAGTCCGGAAGAGGTATGAGTTGATTTTTTTGGAGGTATTTGGGTAAAAAATTTTTGGGGAAAACTTTTTTTCTTTTTAAAGAAGTTAAAAAAAAACTAAATTAATATGACCTTCTTGTCATTTTAAATCATATTTGAAATAAATTAGTCCTCTTCTCTTTAATAATAAAACGAAAAAGTTTGGGCTCAGCCGGTGATCGAAACCGGGGCCTCTCGCACCCAAAGCGAGAATCATACCACTAGACCACTGAGCCGCGACATCATTTCGCTTCATCCGCCGATATCCTAAAGGGATTTTTTGAATCCGCGACGCGTAATTGCTTTTTAGAAATCAAAGGTCTAGTGGTATGTTTCTTGCTTTGGGAGCCAAGGGCCCCAGTTTCGAACACCGACTGGTCTCGAATCTTTTTATGACATTTCAACATTGAACTTGGCATAAAGTAGGTAATCTGACACTGTCATTTTTTTTGCGAATTTTTACTTTTTTTTGGTAAAAACTGCGCGTAGACTGATATCAATTACCTTTTTTCATTACGGTATGGCTAAAAGTAAATATTATTATTGTATGCTATTCAAAATTAAAACAAATCTTAATTTTGATTTTTTACAGACAGCTTTGCGCGAAGCCGAAGAAGAGGTTGGGTTGCAGCCAAGCGACGTCACTTTATGGGGACGATTACCAGCAATGTTCACAAGACAATTGACATTTGTTCAGCCTGTTGTTGGACTAATAGATGAGACTACAGCTTTAAAATTGTATCCACAAACTGACGAGGTTCAAACTGTCTTTTTGGTAGGTTAATCTGGCTTTAGGCTTATTTTTTATGGATTTTTAATTAATACTAATAGTATTATGGTAAAATTTGGTATATAAGAAGGTGGACAAAGTTAGCTTAAAAAATAAAAAAAAATTTTAGACTCCACTAGCTGAACTAGTCCTAAGCACCAGCTACACCGGCTTCAGAGTGGGCAAGAACGTTTTTCACATGCCATTATATTACACTGAACATTATGAAGTCATTTCCAAGACAGCCAATGCTGTGGAGTCCCACGATCATCGGCAGAAGATCTGGGGATTAAGCGCTGGGATCACGACCGAAGCCTTGGCCGTTCTGTCGCCCGAACCTTGGTCTGATAACTTCGTCAAAGTGGAGAAACACAAGCCATTGGATGCTTAACATACGGTTATAGGTAGTTTAAAGTAAAATTTGTATATAACGTTAGTTTTTTAAAGTAAAATACGGATAGTTTCATGTATTGCTTTATTCGAATCGAAAGACGTGGCACGGTAATCCATTGACCGGTAATCAGACATAAATATAGTTATTGCACGGTAGAATGTATAGAGTATACGGTCATGAAGCAGACGAAAATGTACATAGATTTACAGAGTTAAATAAACAAATGACAACAATAGGAATAGTTACAGACAGTACCATATGAGTACTGCAAAGAATTTAGTACCAAAAAGAGTCCTACAAAAATAGTACTAAAAAGAATACGACGAGCTTAGTACTAAAAGAAAGAACTCAGTACCAGTACGATGAATTTACAACCAATATAACAACAAACGATAAGTTAATATACCATTTGGCTGGGTATATTTGCGACAAAACTAAACCACACCACCGCTCTAGTAGCCTGGAGCAGTACGTGGTGGAGGACAGTGCGAGCACTCTCCGCCAGCTCCGGCCTCTCCTTGTGGACCGGCCTCTCCGGGAGCACCTGGGGCACCAGGAGAACCATCTTTGCCCGCATCTCCGGGTGGTCCTTGTGGTCCAGGTTGTGCTTTTCCTGGCTCTCCGGCTGAACCGGGTGTACCAGCAGGTCCGGCTGGTCCAGCAGATCCTGGTGGACCGGGCCTGCCGGGAACGTCGGATAGTACTCCTGGTTGTCCTTTGGCTCCTGGTTCTCCGGCTGGTCCTGGAGTTCCGGGTGTACCAGCTGGGCCAACTGGGCCAGCAGTTCCTGGGGCTCCGGCTTTGCCGTCTTCGCCGTTCTTTCCTGGTTGTCCGTTTGGTCCCTTTGGTCCTGGAGCTCCGGCTGGGCCAGCTGGGACATCGTCGCACTTGAAGCATGGTTCTGGTGGAGCTTGAGAAGCGTCTTGTGGAGCATCTCCGCCGTTCTCACCGTTCTTTCCTGGCTCTCCGTCTTTTCCTAAAAAGGTTTTGAAGAGTTAAAAGTACAGTAAGATGATATACGGTTAGAAAAGTATTGTAAGCTTATTTATGTTATGTTAGGTATGCAAGGTGTTAAATTCAAAAAAAGAGTACTATATATGGCTGATACTGATCAAAGGACATTGTAAAAGGCTGTTTCTTTCATTATTTTACCTAAAGTTATGTTTTCTCACATCTCGAATGTAAGATCATGAGGAAGCGACTTGTTAAAGATTCTTTTTTTGGAATTTCCGGCGGGATTTCGGGTTAAACCGGTTCGACTGGTTTAGCCTCAAAAGAAGTCGAAGCGCCGTAAATGAAAAAAGAGTTTCCTTTGTTTGTGTAATGACATTAACTTAGTATCAAAAGGTTTTACATTACTTTAGCTTATTCGTACTAAAAATTAAAAAAGTTGTGTTATTAGGCCTATTGATAAGGCAAAAAGGTAGCTTTCTAGGGCCTTTTAACTTCAAAATTTTCTTTTTTAATCTTTTTAAAAAAATTATTCTCTTACCATCTTCACCATCAGGTCCTGGTGGTCCTGGAGGTCCAGCAGCTCCAGCTCCGCACGAACATTGAGCATCGTTGCTTTCTTGATGAGCTGGTGTAGTTGGAGCATTAGTAGTTGGGGCTTCAGTAGCTGGAGCCTCGGTGGCTGGAGCTTCAGTGGCCGGAGCTTCAGAAGCTGGCTCTTCGTGGGCAGCGGCTTCTTCTCCACCATAGGCGGCCGAAGCTGGTGGACTGTGTGGAGGTGGGGCTGGGGCCGAGTCCGCTCCATCGTAGTTTCCGGCGTTGTTTTCTGGAGCCGGAGCGATGGTGGCGGCAGCTGGTGGAGCATAGTCGGGTTGAGAGTTGACTCCAGCAGCAGAGTAGCCGGCAGCTTGGTTGGCATAGGAATCGGCACGGCCGAAACGTCTGATCCCAGAGTGAGCGAAAGATGCCTGGGAGAGGCTGTTGCGGCCACCGGCGATGAAGAAGCGGCCGTTGACAGCTCTCTTGGCACGGTACGAGCCTTTTCTGTGGGTTTTTTCGAACTGAAAAGATGTAAAATAATATTTTAGGGTAAAAAGTTTTTGTTCTACTTCAAGAGACTACTAAAATGATCTGAAACCTTAAAAACTTATGCCAAAACCTAAAACTATATACAAATCCCTTACTCTGTCAAATTCTCCGAACAAATTCTGAGTTCTGTGTTGACAGAAGAGCAATTCCTCTTGGAGACCGCTTTGTACGACCATTGTGTAACTGTAGAGCATAGGGATGACTAATGATGCAACACATACAGCGACAACTGATACAGCGACACCGGTGAAGGCGAGTCGTCGTACCGAGTCGGCTTCACGCAGAAGCTCATTGTACCTCTTTTCTTCGGACATTCTGCCCAACCCTGAAGAGTATGAGGTATAAACAGGCATTATTTTAAAATATTTAAGAACCCAACCTTTAAAATTTGGGTACAAATTGGAAAACGAACGAGTTATAGTACGAAATGTTACAATAATCAGTTATCACGTGAACAATGGTACAGAATAGACTTAAACATAGCCATACATTGAAATAAAAGGGCAAACCGTAGCAAAATTTGTTACAGTATAAAATTCACAACCCTCAAAATCATTACAGTACATATCTTTCCCCAAACCTCCGCGCCAATGTCAATATCACTCAATTGGTAAACACAACTGACAACTTCCTCGAATCTGTCACCATATAAAGCCAACCCTGCTACTGTAAACCCCAAAAACAACTCTGTCATCTCGTACAAAAATGATTTACAGGATCTCGAATCCCGTTCGAGACTAACGCCAAGCCGGCTCTTATATATTAAGGAAAAGGCGAGTTTTCTGCGTCGCTTGTGGGTGGGGTAAATAACAATCAAAAGTTACTGCCGCTGTTAAGAATCGTAAAAGTGAGTTGCAAGCGTTGGCTAACTCAAAAATTGATCAAATGCTAGGAATGCGGGTCAGTAGGATATTGGGGAGGGATGAGGAAGAGGGAGGGAGAAGGAGGGTACTATATAAGCAGTTTGATAGGGCAATTACAATAACACTACTTCCTGGAAATTATGGGTTTGTAGAGTATAAAAATATTATTGTAATGGGTTAGGGGAAGGTATGCTGAACTTCAGTTTCAGGTCTCATAAGGCAAAATTTTTCTAGCCTGGCTTGGTTGTGCTAGGCCCAAGCCAATTTAAAGGCGGGGTGTGGATTGAAAATCTAATTTTAGGCTTTAACCCGTCAAGTTTTATAAAGCCTTATCATCATGACAAAAATAGAAAAGTCTCTTTCTCTTCACAAATTACAATCTCCCCCCCCCCCTATTGCTAATCTGTCTTTTCAAAACCAAAATCGCTAAAGTTGTTCATTAAAAGTAAGATAATATATCATCAACTACCGTACACTAACACGCTTTAGTAACCTTGTCCTATTATACCACCGATCCAAAAAACTAATTTTAAAAAATCACCCTAGACTAGCCAAACCCCATGGAAAAGTACGTACGCCAATACCGTTCTTATTGAATTAAGCAACCACGTCAACGTACGCCTCCATGTTCTTTATAAACCTAAGAAGCTGTAAATTGTAAGGTAAACTGGAATGTGAAGGGGAGGGCGGGGTGCGGTTGGAAATATCCGCAAGTTTTGATTATCTGATTGAATCCGAAACGGCTTCGAAAAAACAAACAATCGCCTGACAATGATACATTAAGTTGTAGACGGAGATTGTGACGCAACCGAACGTCAGATAATGACCATGTGTAAGCATACAGAGTTACGAGTTATTGTTGTTGAATAATAAACTTGTACAAGATGGGGATTGTCTAGAGATTGTAATAACTGATACGACAAAGTAACGAGATTACGATGAAAGATACGGTAAGCTAAAAAAACGAAAGAAAAGAAACAAAATAACACTGTAAAAGATAAGCCTTGACTTATGAATATCAACTACACATATAGCTAAAAGAGTTTAAAATCTACCCCTTTTTATATTTACCACGCCCTAAAAAGTCGTCTCAACCTTACCTTACCCCTACCTTATATTTCTGTATTAGTATTACCATTAATACGTCATATCCGTATAATATAATCAAAAAAGTCCCACTGAACTACTCAATAGTACTACTAGTACTATATACTCAACAGTACCGCCCGAAAACAAGCCTGCAAACACTTGACAAAACATTGACACAGTGCGTAGTCGACTAATTGTAAAACTCTACTACTCTATAAATAAATGAACGGCATCGTATGTTTGCTTTTCGAGGTTAAATTGCCGTCAATGCGATGATTCAAAGGGTAGTAATGAGGTTAGCGTCAAGAAAAGTGAGAAAATCCAGAAGTTTTCTTACTTTTATAGATTAATCAAAAAAGTTCGATTTGTCATTTTAAAACTTTAAGGTTTTGAAGTATACACCTGTGTAAATGCTTAACAATTTAAAAAACTACAGTAGTAATTGCCACCATTTCTTACCTACGCTACCCTCTTTGTCTTTCCCTGCCTTGCCTTGCCCAACAAAATGCCTAGGAAATTCCCACTCTCTCGCCCAATCCCAAACCAAAACTCCGAGTCGGTACTATACTCACTACAATATTACACTCCAACCCCAAAGCAGTACCATTTCCAACTAATCAAAAGCAGTAGCTACCTTAAGAATTCCCAAAAGTTTTGAGAAAAAGTAGATGCATAAAAGGAGGAACAATAAATATTTTCTTGATTTCGAGGTTTTCTCATATTATTATTTATGGTTCTCTCCTTTCTTAATTTTCTCCAGAATCCGGTGAAAATTTGTTTTTCGAATCGAATCCCAGCTCCCTCCACATTCTGGTATATATCATAATCGACGTGACTAATTGGCTGTGAACGTAGACGATCTGTTGTCGAGAGTTTTTAGGTAACAACCGTTAGACAAGAGACTATATTGTGGTCAAGAAATATTTGGGTGACACTTTTAGGTAACAAATGTTAGGTCTAGCATAATGAAAGTCAGGTTTTCGAAAAAAGTTCTTTCAGACAAATCCAAAGTGTTATTTTAAGCATTATCTGGTCCTGATGATGCTAAAAATGATATTATAATAATCCAAAAATCAAATTTTCAAATTCTACTGTTCCTACTATGTTCCTATCGCTGTTCTTACAACAATATCTTTCAGCTCGTGCCATTTTCAAACTACAATGCATCATAATCTAAATCGACGCAATCAGAACGTATCTTCTGCCATGTTAGCCTTGACGCGTGAACTGATAGTAACTTCCGCCATAACGCGACGGCTTTTTCGATCTTGACGGATTTCGCGGCGATAAAAACAAGTTCGAAACCCCGCTGGCGATTTTCCGAGCAATCCGAAAAAACGCGTGTTTGTTTTATTAACCACAACGTAGAGCCGCTGAATTTGGTCATAGACTATGGCAATAGGATTGAAATTAAATTAAACTTTTTTCAACTTTTAATCCTTTTTTCTAAAAAAAAATTAAATTTTTATGGAGAAAATGACAAAGCAACATAAACTACACTAACTTGAAGCTGCCAAAAACGAGATTTTACTTTCTTAAGCTAATACAGGTGTAAAAAGAATAAAACCCACTTCCTTGTGTTATAACCCCCATCGCTTACTAAAAATGCTACATAACTTTTACCGAAAAACACTTGAATGACAGCTAACTTTTCGAAACATCTTCTTCAACTTAAACGTGTGCACAACGACGCACTTGTTCAACACCTTTCGTTTGCTGCAGATCTTCAAGGATATTACTCACCACCGTATTTTGTGGTGTGATGACATCAAAGCACATCTACGTAAATTTATATTTACATCAAAACCTGTTTAGTATGACACTCATAGGACTAAGCCAATGTACCATTATAAGCAAGATGTCACACTTTTCAGGTAATTATTAATAAGAGTTCTATTACAAAAGGCAGTCAGAAAGCTGTCATTATAAGAAGGATATCATACTATCGAGAGCCATATTAATGTAGGTTCACTGTATAGTACAACCAGAAAATTTGAAAAAATGTGATCGTATATAACAAAATTACTTATATTTTACTACGGTAAGCAGTGCCTATATATGAACAAAACTTTTCTTACAGCTAAAAGGCAATATATTAGTTGTATATCGACAAAAACAGAAGTATGTATTGTCTAGCATTTGCACTCAAAATTCAAAGCACTACATTCGGCTTTAGAAGAACACACTCTGGTCCCAGAAACTTCCATTTCATATAAACAAATATCTATAATAACTCTTTTAACAGCGATTACAAGATATAGATACCAAAATAAAAAAATCGCAAAAGAAAAAACCTAAAAGTTTAAAAATTAAACCCCAAAGCATCCTCAGCAACACAGTAATCACAGTGATACCTCAAGCAAAGTCGGACGAAAGTGAGTGTATCTATTAATTAACGAAACATTGCAAAATTAGGTCACTTTCCCTTGTTAATTCGCTTTTATGAAATTTTAATACAAATGAAGGGTACCGGAATTTCGAATAACATTTAATTTGTTTCAGAACTTGTCTCAACCAAAACCATTTGTATATCCGTGAACAGCATGAGATTCAAATGGCATTAGAAACGTTTGTCTTGATGGCAACTATAAAAAACGAAAAAAAATATATTGTGATAGATCTATAGTAATAAAAAGTTTTACATTAAAACAATGTCCCAAAAACGGTATTTTATTATAAAAAAACATTACTTTATTTTACTCCTCAGTTCATAACCTCAAAAACCAAAACAAAAGCGTAATGCCAAAAAACCGATAGCGCCGCGACGAAATTTCAACAAAAATGTTTGGCGCTTTTTCTCTATGAAAATATAATCTCGGGCGGCCACAGGACTTCGCATTTTAATAATCTGTTTTTGGTGTTGAAAGTTGTGTAAATATGTCACAGAAAGTTCGGAGCCGTCGGGTCGAAATTAAAGAAGAACCTATGCCTACAGACGTTTGTTATTGGTGAGTTCTGATAACGTTAAAAGTTGTTATTTTTGCGACAATTTTTGGAGAAATTGGGTACAAATAATTTAATTGGACAATGTTTTGTTAGGTAATCAATAAATGTTTTTGTAGCAATGGCAAGCGTGAATTGGGCACGATGGAATTGCATTGTAATGGCTGTAAGAAGTGGTTTCATCAGAAGTGTTTGAAGTATCTCAAGGAATTGTAAGTTTTCCGCTGTTTTTTTTTGTGTTTATTCTTTAGGTTTTTACGAATTTTTGCTTTGATGATAATAACAATAGCTTACTTGACACTTTTTGTAAAGAAAAGTTGTTTATTTTTATGCTTTTATATTGTTCTAGCTTTCATATTGTTATGGACGTTAAATAAATAACCTGCGACTATATAGATTATTATTCTGTTCATACTCAAATCTGGTTTTTAGCTATGGATTGCCGTTTATGGTGTGTTACGTATTCTATTGTGGAGATTGTGCTTCAGACAAACAAGAAAGTTGGACAGCAAAGCAGTGTAGTAAGTGTTTTTAAAGTTTTAGGTAGGAAAACAAAGCTTCATGTAATTTGCAGGCTTTTTAATAGAGTTTAGGCATTTTTTATTTGGTTTTAAAATTTATTTACTTCTCAAAAACACTGCTTAACACTCTTTTATCACTATATGATATTTTAGATTTTTCTCACATGTGTTTGATGGCCTTGGCCAATATGGTGGTCAACAAAACTAAAAAAACGCATGGAGAAGATGCGGATTTGGCTGAGATTATCAGGTCAACAGACCCAATTTACTTTGATGTAGATAAGGAGATTATTCCGTTTTTCGAGGAAAACTGGGAAAGTTTGTCACCATTGCCTAGAAGGGTCAAGAACACTTGGCACGGTACTATTGTCAAGACTCTCACACAATGTACTGATCTGTTTGTTGCGAATGAGGAAAAGGATACTGAATTCACGTTGAAAGAACGTGATTTGTTGACTATTGGTCCTATGCATCAGGCTGTACGACAAGTGAGTGTTTTAATATTTTATTTTGAGTTTTATATTAAAATATCCGCAAAATTGGATTTTTAAGAGAGTAACGTAGGCTATTGGTCAATATTTTATCATAAATGGCTCAAGAATGTATAAAGGTTGTAAATTATCTTGTTTTAGCTAGGAAAACGTCCAGCAGCAGCTCAAGTAGCAAATGCAGCAGAAAGTAACGAAGATTCAGATGGACCTAAAACTCGAGGAGCCTCAAAAAGGAAACAAGTTGAAAATGTTCTTACACCAGCTCCAAAAAGATACAGAACGTAAGGTTTTTGTTGTCTGAGTTTGCTATTTTATTACCTAAACGTTGGATCCTATGTTGTAATGGCTTTTTTGTTTTTTACGGTTTATGCATGTTATAAGAATTCTAACATTTTATCGTATTTTAGCACTGGTAACTCAGACAACACACCGCTGAACGAAGGTGTAAATGTAAATGCAGAAACACCCTTCAACCGGGGCGAAATACGATATTATCCAGCAGAAGAAGATCCATTTGCTGGTGAAAAGTAAGTACTTAGCTATTACTTATAGAATCAAGAGTATTTATCTGTAGTAGAGTTTTTGACGGTATGTTAGTGTTTTTTAAAGGTTAGTCATGATTTTTTTAAATTGAATATAAGCATTTACTGATGCATTGATTTGTTTAGAGCTCGAGGATCAGGAAATTCAGAAGCCAGCGATGATTCACAGAGTAGGATTGTACATCCAGCTAACTACCGTGTATCATTACCATCTATGGTTATGTTATCATCAAACGATCGTGCATATCAGGTTAGTTTTGAATTTAGGTAACAAATTAAAGTTTTTACTTATATATTTCAGTATATGATTAAAATGATTTTTATTAATTGTTTTACTAAGAGAATGTGAATATATTGTTTTAAAGGTCAGGAAGCTAGATGTTTTTGTATCTTATATCTTTTTAAATATGAATTTTAGTTGAAAGTAGACAACGATGGTTTAACTGTGACTGGCAATGGTGGGTATGCGATGGCTAGAGCAACACATTCCGTTAACCGAGGGAGATGGTACTTTGAAGTTGAATTTGTCAAGCAACCGAACGATTCACATATCAGAATTGGATGGGCACAAGGATGCTGTAAGTCTTGTTAATATGATTATAGGACGTAAAATGAAGATTTAGAGTAATATTGATCGTTTTTACTAGGAGTACCCTTCTAAAGCTCAATTTAACTTTATTAATACAACTTTATGCCTTATATTATGTACCTTTTGCTTTAGCCCCTCTACAAGCTTGTGTCGGCTACAGTAAGCTTTCATACGGTTGGCGTTCGCTCAAAGGCACAGCGTTCCACGATGGCTATGGTCACACTTACGCTCCGCCAGGCTACAAACAAGGCGACATTCTCGGCTGTCTGATCGATCTCCCTGACTTTGAAACACAATTGGAGAACGGCCGAACGATTGGCTCGATATTACCATCGTCACACAAAGAGGATTTGCTAGTCAAGTTCAAGAACCATTTTGTGTTTCAGGAACACGACGATCCTCAAGTAGCGAGCCTGAAGCTGGCGGAATTGCCTGGAAGTAAAGTAAGTTTGGGAGTAATTACTGACTTCTGTAGGGTAGTTGTAGCAATTGGTGTTTGTTGTGGTTAATTATGGCACTTAGTGAGAGTTGTGGGGGTTTTTGTGGCAATTGGTTTGTGTAGTGAGGTATTTTAGCTAATCATTGGTTATTGTGGGTTGATTTTATTTGGAGTGATGGGGTGCAGGAAGTTGGAAAGGCCATGTTGTTGTTGACGTTTGAAGGAGAAAAAAAATTGTTGATGTTTTGAAGTCAAAAGACCATTTTCTCTATCAGCTGAACGCACAAAAGAACATTCTTTTAGTTTTTAAGTTTAAAATACGAGTTTTAAATTGTAGCATAAAGTACAAATATGAAATGAGTCCAACACTGCCAATTACAATATAACATAAATTTTTCAAAAAAAAATTTTTAATTTATATTTCAGATTGAATTCTTTGTGAACGGCCGATCGAAAGGAATTGCATTCACCGACATATACGAAGGTTCCTATTACCCGGCTGTCTCGATGTTCCACGATGCTACAGTACGAGTTAACTTCGGTCCTAAATTCAGATATCCATTACCAAAGAACACAAGGCCAATGGCACAAAGACCCGATGAAATGGCAGTAGAACAAACCATCGTTGACATGAGGGATCTTATCAAGTATCAGCTGGAAGAAGAGACGGCTAGCCAGTCGTTGATACCCGATGCCAATGATAGTTAATGTAAGATGGTTGAAGAAAGGTGGGAAGGTTGTTGTAGTTTTAAAATTATGAGGTTGTTGTTGGTATTATAATATTTTATATTATGTTGTTCAAGTAATTTGTGCTCTCTAAGCCCGAAAATTTGTTTTGAGAGGAGGCACAGAATTATTTGAACAACTAAAATAGTATCGGTTGTGACTTTTATGTCAGTAATATTGAGTTAGATAAGGATAAAATGTCATTTTGGTCCTTACTTTAAAGCTTGAAGTGATTTAATTTCAAATTTTTACTTTATATCAATGGTGAAAATATTCCGACATTTTCTTTTTTACTGATAAAAATGCCATTTTCACTTTGCCTAACTTAATATTGTATTGTACAACAACTTTTTCCTTAATTTTGACCCAACTAAACCATTGTCATGACTTTTGACACTTGTTGATGCATATTTATTAGCTGCAATGCTAGAACAGGATAAATAGCCCGTGATTCCTGTGATTTTTTAGCGTTTTATATATTATTTGGATAAAACTTATTTAATAATTGGTTGAATAATATACTTGATGATCAATGAATGGTGAATAACTTAACCTGCTTACAAAGTTTTTATACTGAAATCGTACCTTTGACCATTTTTTGTTATAAATTTGGGTTTTAAAAGCTTTAAAATATAAAAGCTTATACTGAAAAACGGCCGAAGTATTTTTTTATTTGTTTAAAAAGTTTACAACCCTGAAAAATAAAAAAAAAATTTTGAGAAAGGTGAAGAAAACAAAAGGTTGTGTTATGTTAGACAGACTTAAAAGAACAAATAATGTTATGTTAGACAGACCTATTCATGAATAATCACCTAAAATAATCAAAGTTTGATGGTTTTATAACAAGTTTCGAGAGCAAGGTTCGTATACAATAACATTATGAATTCCGCGAAATATCATTCATAACACAAAAAGTAATATATACAGAATACGACGTTGAGTCATGGTCGTTCCATTTTTCTGAAATTCCGGCTATAACCTTTCGCATTAGTCTCAAGTTTTGTTAAAGTTTGTAAATGGCTAGACAAAAAAGCGGTGAATTTCACGTTATCACTAAAAATCATGTCCTTATAATATATTGAAAAAGGGCACGGGATTATGTGAACGGCATAATATTATCAAGAATCAGCTGAAAGTTTCCTTTTTAAAGTACCAGATTGTTCAAATAATTCTATGCTCACTCATCCTAAAAAATTGTTTCGAGAGGGGCACTGGATTATTTGAACAACCTACTAAACGGCCGAACCCTTGTATAATATCCCACTTCAAAATTTATAAAGACAAACCCCCTACCCTAAAAATAAATACAGGGCCAAAACCCCCACCAAAAGTCAAAAGCGGCCGAAGGCAGAAGTAGCTTCCGATGACTAACCCTCGGCATGACGTTCCCCTGACCCACTTGTCGACGAACACCTCCCAAACTCGTTTTGTCTGTCGAAAAATGAAACTCATAAAAACCATTTGGCTTATTGTGCGCCCTCCTCGCCTCACACACTATTTCGTCGACCGAAGGTGTGAAAGAGTCTCGACGGTTTCAGATAATAGTTTCAGCCTTGAGTTAACATTGTACAACAACTTTGTTTGACTTGAGGCATTTCAACTTTCTAAATGGTCCTTACTGTCTGGGGGTTCTGTAGCCTTTTGGATGGCTTTAAAATGGAAAAGTAAAACATTTTTCGTTTGTTTAGGGTACCGTAATTTCATTTTTTAATTATTTTTTTAAAAACGGCCTTTTTGAAACTTTGAATTTGAATTTTTTAACAATTACGGGCTGGTTTTTTTTAACAATTAAGGTCGTTTTAGGCTTATTTCTCATTTTTAAGCCAGCATGTACAACTATATAACATAAAAAATTCAAATAAAAATTAAGCCCAACGTTCATATTACTAATCAAAATTTAGCACTTCACACCAAACCCCATTGAAAAACCGCCAAAATTTGCCAAACTCCGCCCATTTCCTCCCCAAAACGCCGTTTTATAATTAGAAAAATGTCAATGATAATATAACAATTGAACAAACTTACAATATTTGTACGAATTCACGAAATTCACGAATATTTTGACTATATATTTGCGTTTCCTCACACCGCCTAACATAAATTGTAGTTTTTTAGCGAAAAAACGATTTGTTTTCCTTATTTTCTCTCGGTTTCATTCTTGAAAGGGAACGGAGAGCCGAGCAGTCCGTGCAGCTTTGTCCGAGTGGTTAAGGAGTCAGACTCGAAATCTGATGGGCTTTGCCCGCGCAGGTTCGAATCCTGCAGGCTGCGAATTCTTTTTTGGCCGTTTTTGGGTATGAAAATTGTTGAAATTGTTATTGTACGGGTAACAAATGGGTTAAAGTTATATTTTTACAACTTTATGAGCAACTTTTAATATTTTGAAAGCCTTTTTGCGCTGTTTTTTATTTACCGTGTGATTTACAAGTGTAAACAGTTTGTCATGTTATTTATCGCTGTGATAACAAATAAAACGTTGAAAACCTAACCTTTCATGCCTTTCTAAACGCCAAAAGCAGAAAAATCAAAGTTCTTTTTTCAACTAAAATTTGATTGATTTAAATTTCTTTAATTCAAAACAAAAACATCCAAGCTGTAAACAAAATTTCTGCAATAAAATGCGGTAAACAATTAGGCGCTGTATATTACTTTTACAATTTTGAAAAAAAGGTTTGTCGGTTCGAAAAAAAAGGTTTAAGTGACCTATTCAAGGGCCCGGAGGGTCTTTGGCGGAAGGAATTTATTACAATTTGAACGAGTTTATCAGTCAGTTTAAGAATGGCAGTGTTTGTGATTTCCAACGGGAGTTTCAGACTCGATGTCTGGGTTGGAGTGGACAAATAAGGCACTAAAAATTTTTTTTGGGGTATGGGAGTGTTCATTTTGATAATAAATAAATTTTTAAATTTTTTGAAATTTTTTTGCAAAAATTTGATTTCAAGCTAATTTTTTTTAAGATTTGTAGTTTTTTTTTATTTTTTAAGTTTAACTAACTGTTATTTTTCTTTATTCACCAAGAATATCCTACTTTTCATGATTTTTTGTCATTTGACAAAAACTTTGTTTTTCAGCCAAATCGTATTTTAAAAATTAAAAAAAATTTTAAATTTGATAATTCAGACTCTAGAGTCGCTTAAAAACAGCAAAGAACTTACTTTCAATTATCAAAACCCTTAAAAAACTACCAAAAAGCAATTCGCAGCCTGCAGGATTCGAACCTGCGCGGGCAAAGCCCATCAGATTTCGAGTCTGACTCCTTAACCGCTCGGACAAAGCTGCACGCTTGTCACGTTTTGGTAGGAGAGTTGTAAAACTACTCTAAAAATGTATTAGCCATATAAAGTAGTCTTTGGTTATCAAGAAATGAAACTTATTTCAAAACTTGACTTCGATTTGGTCTTTGGGGAATAAAAATACCTGACTTTTTGTGTTTTACAGTGTAAAGTGATGGTAGACTTAAACTTGTGAATGGTTAGGATTCATCAAGATGGTAAACAACAAATTGTGGATTTTATTGGTGTAAATAGAAGTTATTGTAGTAAAATACGATTGGACATGCATCACATTTAAATTTTTTTAGAAAGTTTTTACATAGTTGGTTTTCAAAAATTGCGAAAACTTTGTTTACAGAATCACAAAACACGAAAAATCTTGTTTATAGTAATCTCAAATGGCAATAACTTTCGTTACAAGCTTTAAAATGGGGAAAACTTTATTTACAAGCCTTAAAACGGCAATAACTTTCTTTACAAACTTTAAAATGGCAATAAATTTCTTTACAGGCTTTAAAACGGCAATAACTTTATTTACAAAACAAAAGATTGCAAAAAATTTCTTTCTACTAGAATAAACTATGAAACTCCGCAAAAACTTTCTTTCCACAAACGCGATTGCCAAAAGAATGACAAATTATTACAGTTTTACAAGGTCAATCGACCAGAAATGTTTTTTAATCTTTACCGAGGAATGCCCTGAGGCCGTTCAAGGACAAATTCGGTCGATGAATTGTTTTTTTAAATTGGCGCGTACCAGTCACTTTAAGTTGTAAATTCCGGGATTTACAATCAAATCACGGTACGGTAGGCGCGTCAAATTTATTGTTGTTTGGGATGGTTAAGGTTACCTAAACATCTTGTTACTTTTTACAATTTAAGGTCGATTTAGGGGTCAGTCTGTGGTTGGGATGGTAGGGACGGCACGTTACCATCAGAATAGGGTGATGGGAGAAAGATGCTACAGAGGAGGTTGGGGAAGGGAGACTTCAAACGGCAGTAGATTTCTTTGTAGTGCCTAAAGCGGCAATCGCGACAAAAAATGGCAATACCTTTCTTTAAAAGACAGAAGATGACAATAACTGTCTTTACGATAGCAAAAATGGTGAGAACTTTCTTTAAAGGACTTCAAACGGCTATAATTTTCTTTACAAAACAAAACATGGCAATAACTTTATTTACAATAGCAAAAATGACAATAACCTTCTTTCCAAAACAAAAACTGACAATAACTTTCTTTACAGTAGCTAAACTGGCATGATTTACAAATTTTCAAAAACGGCAGATCCAAAATTGTGAAATAATTGTTTACTATGCCTTTGTGACACCCATAACATCACATGCCTGATATTAATGGTTGTTCCAGTGATTCCAACTGATTTTACAAACCATTTTCAGTTTGCTGACGTCAAGTGGAGTCGGTAAACAACGCCTACAACAACTCTTTGGGTCACTTAACCCTTCAAACTTTGCGATTTTAATTTCTTCCTAAATTCCATTTTTAATTGGCATTTTTAGGAAAAGTGGAAATAAAGTTATTGCGATTTTTTAGTTTGGAAAGGAAGTTCTTGCCATTTTTCGACTTGTAAAGAAAGTTACTGCTATTTTTTAGCCTGAACTTAAAGTTATTGCCATTTTGAGGCTTGTAAAGGAAGTTCTTGCCATTTTTTAGTTTGTAAAGAAAGTTCCTGCAATTTTTTGTGTTGTAAAAAAGTTTTTTGTCACTGTTTGATCTGTAAACAAAGTTTCTTCACGTTTTCTAAATTATTTTCAATTTTTTGGAAATTTTGATTTTTTTCGATTTTTGAACTGTGAATTCCTTCTTGACCTTAGGCGACTTCACGTACGAAAAGTGATTGAAAGGTTGACGAAAACCTTTTCAGGGATTTTTTGTCACTTTTTCTAGGGATTCTGAAGCGGAAAATGAAAGGTCATTAGGTCATGTAACTTTTTGTTGTTCATCCCAGAATCTATGAGATGTTTAGTGATGAACTTGTGTGATTAGGTGATTAGGGTTGTGACTACTTTAACTTGAGTCTTTAATAAAAAACTTTAAGTTGAAAAATTTGTTATTTCAATGTTTATTAATCATTTAAAGGTTAAAAATTATAAATTTGTTGACTATAACAAGCATTTTTGCCCTAAAATGACATAAGTTATGTCCAATATGAAAGCGTTGTCACTAATATTGGGTTGTTCAAATAATTCTGTGCTCCTTACATCAAAAATTACTTTGAAAGGAGCACAGACTTATTAGAAAAACCTAATATAGGGGACTTATTCTCCCGCAACGAATTGGAATCGTGCCTACTATAAGATGTCAGCTCTAAATTTTAAATTCACAATTGGAACTTTTCAGCAATCATGAACCGGGTCAGATTAAGAACACTGCCATGTACACATTTACAATTAGTTTTACTTGTTCTGTCACCTTTGTTATCAACTGCCCAGTTTTTTGATTGCCAAACAGCCCCAGGGGAACGTAAGTTTATATTTTTGGTTTAAACTGATCAATACCTAAAAGTTTTGTTTATTATAACCTAATTAGCTTTTTTAAATTTTAGGAATTAAAGAAAATTAAATAAAAAAAAAATTTTTAAATAAAAAAGCAAGTTTTGAAATTTTAAGGTGCTTTAATCCAATATTTTCAGCCTGGAGGACGATCTGCCAGTCCTTAGTGAACTGGGATGTGTCAGCTCGTCAATTCCAACAACAACAAGCTCAATTGCAACAAAATAGAGTCGTCGCAGCACCAGCTGTGCCTGACCAACCATGGTTATCACCAGCGGTACCACAACAAATGGCTACACAGCCTCAGGGCTGCATGGACTTGGGCTGTCTTTGCTCGTTCTTACAGGTATGTAGCTTGGCTTTGAGATGTTTAAATTAAGGTTGAAAGTTATATTGAGTTAGGTTAGAAATAAAAAGTTTTTTAAAGCAATTTGAAGATTTTGGAGTAGTTTGATACTTATAGGCCTAGCTAGTTATCTATACCTAAAATAACAAAACTATACATTGTAAAAACATTTCTATTGCAGGGCCTTCGCGGTCCCAACAACCAATGTCAACTTCGCTCAGGAGGTACCCTTCAAAAGGCCGTTCGTCGCGAGATCAGGACCTTATCAGACGGCGAACGTCAGCGACTTTTCCAAATAATGCAGCAACTCAAGAACTCGGGCCAATACGACTCGATGAGTGGAGAACATCGTGCAGTCGGCTCGTCATCTGGAGCTCACTCTGGACCCGGCTTCTTGCCTTGGCATCGTGAATTCATGAAGCGATTCGAGATCAGTTTGAGGTTGATTGATCCAAACATGGCACTACCTTATTGGGACAGTGTTATGGACTCGTATCTGCCTAGGCCAGCTGATTCCATCTTCTTCTCGCCAATATTTATGGGTGAGGCTGATGCTTTCGGTCAGGTTGTCACTGGACCTTTTTCTGGTTGGAGAACTCTGGAAGGCAAGGCTTATATTCAACGGTAAGGGTATTTAAAAACATATTTTTTGGATTTTTAAATATTTTTAAAAAGTTCCAGACCAAAATTCCCAGCCAGTCAGTTCCTGATCGTACCTGTTTTAGAAAACGTTTTTACCTTTTTAATTTCCAGTTCGCTAGCCCGCGAAGGCCGTCTCTTCAACGAAAACGACTTGAACAATGTCTACCGCCAAACCCAGATCGAGCAAGTTATGGCCTACACCGTGCCAGAACGATCATGTCCTTACCAACCCAACTTTGGCGCTCTTGAATACACCCATTCATCTGTGCATTTGTTTATTGGAGGCGACATGAAGCCGCCAGTAACTTCGGCCAACGATCCCGTCTTCTTCTTTCATCACTCGTTCGTGGATCTGATCTTTGAGAATTGGCGACAAATGCGACAGAACAGATGGGCTAGAGAGCAGGTAAGATAATATTCATGGGCTGGAGAAGACAACATAAGATAAAAGTTGAAAAAACATAGTTTTAGACATTTTTAGGTATAAAAATATAAAATTTTATGTTAATTTAGGTATAAAATGAGAAAAAAAACTGATTATTGTTAATCTAGTTATATTATTATGGAATTTATGTTAATTTAGGTAATAAAAAAGTTAAAAATTAGATTTTAAATAATATATTAATAGGTTAGGTACTATATTATCCAACTTATATTTATTTGGTTAAATTTTACATATATGCATTATCGAAAATTGATAAAATATTGTCTTCTTCATGTTATCCACCCTTTCTTCCAGGCCTACCCACCAGACATTCCCCAATGTGCCAACCAACAGCACTTCAGCGGTGCAACGATGAGACCGTACCAAATCTCCAACCGTCAAGGTCTTTCAAACGCCTATACCGACAATCTGTACCAATTCGCCGAGCGACCTAACTGCAACAACAACTGTGGCGGCTCTAAGTATTTGTTCTGCGACAACCGCGGCAACCCACATTGTGTGTCCAAAGTCAAAATGAACGGTCTTTGTCAGGGCTTCGAAGGCTTTGACGTGTGTTATCAAGGTCTGTGCAGAGGCGGTGTGTGTGTGCCAGGCCAATTCCAAACACAACAAGACCTTCAGAATCCGCAGACGACGCAGAGCACAGCTATTCCAAGGACTACACAGGCTAGCAGAAGCACTCCACGGCCTTCGCTTATCACGGCGGCTACACAAAGGGCTGCTGCTACTATAACTAGGGCTCCAAATCTGAATTTGAATGCATTGGCCACGAATGGGCCTAATAATAGGGCTCAAGCTGTAAGTTGAGGGGTTGGGAGGGGAGGGGGAGGGTTAACACAGCAAAGATTGTTTTCAATGACTAACTTTAACGTAAATCACTGTACTAATATTAACTTACATGTAAGGAACGTGTTTTAAAATTAAAGTAGAACTTGTTGTAGAATTATTATAGATATAACGACTAATATTAACTGTGGTATTAAAATAAAATTGAGTTAAAAACTACTATCATATTAAGTTAAGGTAGAGTAGAAAGTTTGTTACTTTTATTCATTTTGCTGCAATATATGTTGCTTTATTTGTTATTGCTTTCTTTTGCTTTGCTTTATGTTTCCACCAAGTGTCATTGCATGATCATTCAACTACATATATATCAACAACACAGTGCCATGGTACAGCGAGCCAGTATCTTCATATAGAGCCAGAAACAAGGCTGATACGGACACGAAAATCACGCTTATCACTAACCCCTTTAACCTATTCATTTAACATTTTATACGCTTTTCCAACGGCGATTTTAGCGCCGTCGCTTCCGTCGTCCCCGTCCTCGTGTCGCCGCCGCACCACCATCCATCAGTCCAGCCATGTTCCGCCAACCACCTCCGCCTATGTTTAATTCTAATGTTGCTGTAATGCCTGCGCGACGCCGATTCAAACAAATAAGGCAGAGAAGTCCGAGAGATTTTCATAATCGGGAAAAGAGAAAGGTCGAGATCGATGCCGTTACCATGCTTGAAGACAATGTAAGTTGCTTGGGGGTAGAGCTTGTTATGCTAGAGTAACATAAGGTATTCTGGATGATATTAGCCGTCATTTTTTCTGTAAGGTTTGGTAAGATAATGTAGTTTGTGGTAAGGAAAAGGTAAGGTATGTTGAAAATGTATATAAGCTTACGTTTTGCATTTTTTTGTGCTACAAGTTTTGCTGATTCTGGTGATGGTCGTACTGTAAATTGTATTGTTATTAAAGCTAAAGAAATAGTAAAATAAAACTTTACAGAGTAAAAAATGGTTGTTTACTAGTACATGTAAAAATATATAAGGTTTAGTGCTATATGTAATAATATGTAAGGTTTACTACTACATGTAATACTATATACAAAATATCATATATAACTATCAACAACCTCTTGTGGTTAACTGTAATACTGTCAATCTATAAAAGTGCCAAAACCTTCTTGCAAAACAATAATTTAGCTCCGAAACCCGATCAAGCCAGCGGCCAACATGACTTTGGCTACGGAACACTGCTTCAACGACGACCCTTGTTGCAACAGCTGGGCTAAGAAGCAGGAATGTGCAGCCAATCCAGCCTACATGAAGTTGTACTGTCAACGTGCTTGTGGAGTATGTCATTCAAATACGCCTGAAGGACATGGATGTCGCGATAGACATATCGCTTGTGCTACCTACAAGGCGGAAGGACGTTGTAGCAGCTACAGACAGTTTATGGCTACGAACTGTAGACGAACGTGTGGATGGTGTAATGTCAGTGAGAGGCAGTTATGTCAACACGTCGCTATGATGAGCAGAATGTAGATGTAGAAATGATATTTTAAAGTAATTGTTATAGTTATTTGGACTTGTGGTACGTTGATACTATGTAGTATTATTGTAAGTGCTGTATAGTATGGTACTCAATTGTCCGTAACCAAGTTTTTTTAAAGTTGCCGTAACGTTTTTATCAAATAATGTAATTATGTTTTTAATTTTTTCAATTTATCACTAACTATAGTCTTACTGTAATTTTGTAAATTTTTAATTTAATTCCTTATCATTCTGTAAAAATCAACTTTTTAAAAACACTTGCCATTTAATGTATTGTACAACATTTCTGTCTCAAACATTGCCAAATCCAACCACTTTGACTCAAATACCGGTCGATTTTCACTTGATTTTAGATTGTCTTTCGTAACGACATATATAGCCATCATACAGTAATAACGATGCTAATAAACAGTAATAATTTTTAATTATAAAAATGACATTTATTCTGCCTTGCCCTGCCCTGCCCTGCCCTGCCCTGCCCTGCCCTGCCCTGCCCTGCACTACTCTCCATTACCTTACCCTATAAATCATATAAGCTAATTGTAAAAAATAAAAAATAATTATTTATGTGCATATACTACAACGTATATATTGGTATAACCATACATAATATTAATTAGTTAAGATACGATATAAAAATAGTATTACGACAATATGAAATTACAATTGGAGGTATGTGAAAGAACGGTAACATGATGGATATTGATATTTTAGAAATACCTAGAAGATATGACTTGGTAGTACTGTTTTTAAAACCTTTAGTACTATTAATTTTCAGGCAATAGTATGATACTGTAAAAAATAATTATAGTAGGATTATAAAACTGTCACACTGGTATAAAGTACTATATGAACTACTTTTTAGTCCCGTTTTAGCTTAAAGACCTTGCATATTACAAACATCGTGCACCTCCAGAAGATCAACAACTTAAAGTACAAGATCACCAAGATAGGCACATACACATCAATACCGTAGTACTGAATCGTATTCAAATGTCTTGACCTCAAGTCATGAACGTCAGCAATGTCATGTCTCACTGCATGTTCGGTGAACTTTACCACACGATCTCTGGCACTCAAAGGCTTGTTTTGCATCATATGCTTCATGTTTTGAGCACTTTCGATGATCACGGTGTTGTTCAGGATCTCACTCAAAGCGGCAATCAACCTCGGTGGGGTGAGGTCATTTCGAGGGAATGTAACTAGGATGTTACGCATCTCTCCCATCTTACAGTTCCGTTCTTGATCTCCAAACAATGGGACACAGACGGCTGGGACACCGTGATAAGCGGTTTCTGATACTGAGTTCAGACCGCCGTGCGTGATGAAGCCAACGGTTTTGGGATGAGCTGAAAATTTTAAAGATAAAATTTATCTTTTCCGCCCCCTTACCAAAACAACAAGATAAAACCCTTACCCAAAACTTCCTTCTGTGGCACCCACTCTTCGATGGCGACATTGCGAATGTCTTTGAAGATGGGGTCGTTGGCATCGGCATGCTTAAACAAGAACGTAATCTCCGGGAATTGTCTGAACGTCTCAGCCAGCATCTCTTTTGTTCTATTCGGCATCACTTCAGCTGTCGCAACAGTGCCGAACGAAACTAGTACAACGCCTCGTCTCGAATTGCCAAAAATGTGTTTGAATTTGGAAGAAAGTGGACCAATCTTGTGTTGAGTGATACCACCAATGTAGATGATCTTTTGAGAAGTTGGTTGTTGGAATTCCAGGTGCTCATCACCGTTGACAAATGCGTAGGAGCTTCTGATGAAGGCGGCCTAAAAGTTGTAAATTTATTTTGCTTTGGAGTTATATTAACCATGAAGTAATACAAGTCATTCTGTTTTTGTCATAACTATTTTGGAGCACTAGCTAAAAGCATATAACTTTGTGCAAGTATAGGGTAGTTATAGTAATACATAACAGTGAAAAATAATTTTAAAATTTTGGCCAATAAAAAAGTTACAGTAATTTTAAGTACGTTTTTAAAATTTAGCCAAATTTTCCCAAAAAAAAATTTTTAAATGTACAAAACTTCCAAAAATGACAATATTAACCTACACTAACATCCAACTCTCGGCCCATAGCTCTGTAAGCCGCATTTCTAACCGGTTTCTCAAAAATGTAGTCGTACGAGTAGAAGCCGACTGGTAGGAAAAGAAAAGCCATTAGTCGGTCCCAATATGTCATGTCGTAATTGTTGAACGCGGGCAAGTACGAAGTTGTAATACCATGCCCAAGAAGTGTCATAGCTTGAGGAAACATAGGAGTTGCATAAGCAGAAATATGCTTTTTGATACCCAAAACCTCGAACAGAGCAAAGGTACAGACATCAAAGTGTTCTCCAATGGCTATGTCAAAGTTCTCATTTCGAAGTTGGGTGGTGAGGTTGGTGTCGATTAGTTGGTCTAAAATGGCATTTATTTTTTACTTTTATGGTACATAATATTTTATTTTAAAGATATTATATGGTATATAACGAACTAAGTTTCAAAATGACTTAGATTTTGCGTCTTCAACCCTAAGATAATGCTTCAATTTTAAAAGTTTTGAAAGAAAACCAAAGTTAAAACATTATTTTTGAAATAACAGTACTAGAAAAGCAGAAACTAGAAATTGTTTTATGTAGTTTTGGCTCTGCTTTAGGAACAGAGGACAGTCTAGAGCTCAAAATGTACCAAAGTTAAAATTTTAAAAATATTTATGGGCTGAGGGGTTCTAAGCTTAGAACTTAATAGTTAGGTAATAAAACGTTAAAAGTAATTCTTTTTTACACTTTTAGTTAAATTTTATGCTACGTGGTTTTATTTTTGTTTTATTAAGAGTAGAAAAATGACTCACGATAACAAGCAGTAGCTATGCCTTCACCAATGTCTTGGTACATCTGGAAAAACATATTTTAATAAAATGTTTAAAATATACTCTCAAATAAATAAAGTAAAATAAACATTTCAATTATAAAAAAAAAGTTTTGTAATTATTCAATATAAAAATCTTAAAAATATTTCAAAAACCTTACCATCCACTCCTTAGTTGACTTGCCATCTGTTTCCCAAAAGTTTGGGAAAGGTTTCACTTTAAAATCTCTCTTTCTAACTACAACTTTGGCTTTGGAGCAGTTGACGAACTTGACTTTGTCATAAAACTCGTGTTGGTAGAAAGTGACATCATGGCCTGCTTCAGCCAACACATCAGCGATCTTACCCATGAACAAGACATGAGATTGGCCAAAGCGTAAAGTGTAAACTAGAATCTTGTAGCCATTTAGTTGTAGTGCCAAAGCTGATAACAATATCAGCGTTAGGAGCTTGAACATCTAAAAAAATTTGTTTTAAAAAGTGACATTTGGTTTTAAAGTTTTAAAAATAATTTAAAAACTCGAAACTTGTGAACAAATATGAGTGTTACAGTAAGAAAGAAAACCCAAAGCGTGTCATCAAGCAAACCATGCGTGACAAAACTGATAGATTTTCAGATAAACCGACTTTAAATCTTGCACCTACAGTAATAAGCACGGTATGAAAAACAAACTGATACCATTTGCTAACATAGACAGAAATCATTGCTTAATCGTTGACAAACTAGAAAAACACAGTTTACCGTATGGTTTTTAAAGACAAATGATAAAATTTTGAAAAGTACAAAAACAAGCTTAAGCCCTAGTACAGTAAACGTAAATTTAAAAAAACCGTAAGCTTGAACAAAACCAACGTGGTAAACGAGTTAAACGCAGGACTTTGGTAGCAATTTAAACCACATTTTTAAATCTTTCGAAGTTACAAAACCTTAAAATTTAAAAGTTGTATTTTAAAAAGATTGACCTATATTTTAATAAACAGACGACAGTAGCAATAAGCTAGAATTTGTTATTTTTACTTGTAAGCAGAGTAAAGCGCTACCTGTCTATGTAAACCTGGACGATCGAGTTTGAAAGCCCGATGTAAACAATAAATACCGTAATAAATAAATACTGAAAACATTTTTTACAAAAATTAATTGAAAAGCAAGGCCTTATAGACAAGATATTAAACAAATTTACTCTTTAATTTTTACTTGCAATGGGGCTTGTCATACGGAGTTTTTAATCACCAACTGATATACTGAAAGCAGAAATTTTTGACCCTCTATCTAACATGGCTATGAGTGAACCGATCGAAACCAAACTTGGTATATAGTTTATTGACAACCTAGTAACAACACAAACGGAACCAGGAATTGCTGGACTACCGTTAACAAACAAGTATATCAAAACAGTCTCCAGTACTTTATGAGTACATATACCAGGTTTGATCCCAATCGGTTCACTCATAGCCAAGTTAGATGGGGGGGGAGGGGTCAAAACTTTCTGCCTTCAGTAAAACTTCTATAAAAAATTGTTTTAGACCGTTCCTGGAGCAAAATTCCTTTTTGCCTTGACAGTAAACCCTTGCTTCAACTATACGAAAAACTATTTTGTAGTTGCTTAGCAAATATGTGGTTTCTTAGCTAGACTGTTCTGATTGTCAAAGTTAGCTACAAGTTTTACGTATAAGCACAACAAAAAAATTAACTGAATTTTAAAGTTCAATGTTCAATACAGTAGGCTGCAGTTATGAAAAACTAAAAAAGTTTGTCAATTAAAAAAGGGTGTGAAAGATCAGACAAGTACGTATATAATAAAGCAAAGTACAGTAGAACTCTCGTATAACGAACAACTTTTGAATCCTATCACTGCACAGTGCATTTAAAACCCCTGTGCGACAAAACTCTTTTATAACAAACAAATTTTCAACCGATTCGTTGTAATGAAGTTCAATGTATACAAATGAACAAACTCTAAGTTTCATTTAACGCAACATAAAATCTGATAACTAATAGCAACTTTACCCTTATATACCCTTGTAACTTTGATGTATTTTAACCACACAAACTACTTACATTTCAACACCTGTCAGTTACTGTAGCTTAAAGCCAATAAACTCCGCCTACTCTCGAACCGATGACAATAAGTGACAAATCTCTAAAACAATATACAAAAAGCAACACCGAGACCAAATTGGTACCGAAAACGTTGTACATTATTCATTAAGAAAATAATTAGTTTTAATCCGCAAAACACAAAAATCGCCGCCCATTTCCCATTTATAGCAAACATTGCCAGCGGGCAGTTCTAAAATGACATCAAACGATTCAGCCCCGATTTAACTGATCATTAGGGAATAGTGAGGAAAAGCGAGAGAGTACAGAGAAAATGACTTAAATATGCGTATCGAAAATCTTTTTGAAACAGATATATAGACTTGTAGGAGATGATCGTACAGAACGTTTCGGCATATTACTGTCGATTGAGAGTTTGATATGCCTTAGAATATCAGTGTCTAGTTAAGGTTAGTAAAATATACTTTTAGATAGTATGACGATTAGAAATTTAGTTTATTTTAGGATTTATAAGTTTATTTTTCTTACTGTAACTTGAATTTATAGACAACCAACAAAAAAAGATTTTTTAGAATCAGTTTCTAAAATTAAAAGCTTTTTGCGACAGAACGCCATTGATATTCGAGGACGTTTTTTGTTCTTTTAAATGTTGTGTTAGACTGATTGTGAGTGTAAAAAAACAATCTAAGTTTTAAAATTTCTTTTAAATTTAACTTTATTTTATTTACTTTACATATTCAAGCGTCTACAATTACTTATTAAAGGCCTAGTGTTAGGTGTAAACTCCAGGCATATTCAGGACAAGACTATACAAGTCAGGGCAGAGCAAAAAATGGGTCATGCTTTAAGAAAACAGGGCAATGGCAACTGTTTTGCCAGCAAAACGCCTCTGTCCTATACAGGATAGATTATGAATAATTTTTTAGTTCTCGCTTTGTCAATGCCAGCTTAGGATTGCAAACAGTTTCTTTTCAGACTAATCAAAAATTTTTAAAAAAAAGTACAATCTTGTGAACAAAACAAATCTTATCCTCTCTCGTACAGTCATACATAAAGTTCACCACTTAGACCATTTTTAATAAATTTTAGTGCAAATTTAGTACAGTAGAACTGTTGTAAATATCACTAATCAATCAAAATTGGTTTTTTTTGGTTTCAAGCGTTTTGGTGTGAACGAATTTTGAATGCTCTGTGCAGTATTGGCTGAGAATGTATATATAATAAAAGCTGTTTATTATAAGGAATTTTTGTTATAGAGGTATTCGTTATATACGATTTTGTTCTTCAGTTTTCCTGTATATTGTTTTCTAGCTTACATAGTAATTGTATTATGATTTTTTAATTGTTAACCTTGTTTTAAAAATTTATTCTTAAAATGATAATTTTAAATATCCAATTTTCTTTTAACTACAATAATTTAAATTTTACAAAAAATTAAATTTGCTTAAAAAATTTTTCACAATGAAACAAATAATAAATTAATAAGTTATTAATACAACATTTGATTTACAACACATTGCAGTGGTCTGCTTCAAATATGCGTCGATTTATTTATCATGGCACATCAAAAGTGACGCTCTGCGGTCGAAAAGTTTAACGTTAAACAGTTTTGTTAAACTTGGTGAAGTGACGTGATGCACAAAACTGCACAAGGTACAGTAAGTGTCGGTAAAAGTAGCTTAGACGTTAAATTTTGGACCGCTTAAGGGCGACTGATAGCAGATAAAGCCGGCTGATAACGGTTAACGTTACTTTGTTTTGTTTGCTTATCAGTCGGAATTCTTTACATTGTAATGTGTATTTTTGTTTTGAGTTTTTAGCGTTTGGAGGTGATTGTGTTACAGTAGGATTTTTTAAGAAATAAGCTTTAAATTAATTAAAATTTTTAAATTTTTGGAGGTTTTGGCATTTTGAACCAACTCTTTTTTGAATTCAACTTCAATTGATGGTAAACGAACTTGCGCCCAAAGACAATAACAATAACCCAGTTTTCTGTAGAAGGTTCACATGTATATCGCGGTAATAAATTACTTTTCGATTACGATACTATTAGCTTTCTGAAGGAGTTTTGTTACAAAACTTTAAAAAAAACTTGGTGAAAAATTTTTGAGTTGCACTTTTAAGCAACAAATTAACCTTACATGTTCGGTTTTCAGTTTTAAAACATAACAGTTTTGAAGCACTTTAAGGTTATCAAAATGCCAAAAAGTTTAAAAAATATTTTTTTTTTTTAGCTTTGAAAAATATTTTTAAACGTTTTATTAATGCAAATTAAGTGTAGCTCTTCGGTACGTCTCAAAGTGGCCCTTAAGCATATACAGAATTTAGTGCGTCTTTCCAATACCCTCTCCCGTTCCCTGTCTTGTAATCTGTTTTTTATCCTGTTTTGTACCCTGCTATGTACAATGCCTTGTACTCTTCTTTGTATCTTGCCCTGTATCCATCCATGTGTCCTGCCCTGTACCTAACCATTTATCCTACATTTTTATCTTTCTTTGTACTGTTTATTTTTACTGTATAAAACTACAAGTTTACAAAAAACATAAAATTTTTATTTTCTCTAAAAACTGCATCGAAAAATGACCGCGATTTCTTATCTTACAAAACTAAACATCACACATCGCTCAAACGTATTCTGTTTTGTTGTTGAGCACTTATTCTGTACCGTAACCTAATGGGATATTCGAAAGTAACAACAATTTCAACAGGATTTAGTCGCGATTTGATCTTACAAGCATTTGGACTTACTTTGGTTTTCTCACCAACCTCTGCTACTCTCCATGTTGTGTGATGTTGCAGTAGTTTCAGATTAAGGTACGAACTGACTCAGCAGCTATTTCTGATTGATCTCGGTTTGGATTATCGGAATATAGCTTTTATAAGTGTGTATCTTGTAGCTTATGCTTGGTTTAGTTGCACTTGTGCAATTGTTTTACAGTATGCTGGCTATTGAAAGTACTGTAAAAGCATAAAATAAAAAATGACATCGATTTTTTAGTTCAAGAACAATATGTTATATGAATAACAAAAAAGGCATAATGAGAGTTAAAACCGCAAACAACAAGAATCAAAACAACAATCTAAGTAAAAAATAAATTTTTACGTCGTATATGCTCTAATTCTCGTGTTTAATCTTTTCCGTTAAACGTTTCACGCTAATTAGGCTTTTAAAACACATTTTCGTAGTTGATTTGACGATAAGAAGACTAATTTATAACATAGATATTTTACGTACATTACCTAATTATCAGACGTTGAAAGTGCCGTTGCCACAAAGAAGATCAATTGGCCAAGTTTTGTTTCGTCAACAAAGCAATACGTGACGCTAGGCTAACAAGGAAAGTGCTCGACCAGCCTCGCTATAGATGAATTCAAACTTTTTATATAAAAAGAACATGT